TTTGGACTTTTTGGGTTTGGACCATCTTAGTACGTAAACAACAAGTTGGTTGCTTGTTTTGGCCCATCCGCTCAGGAAGTGAGTATTGCCCTCCTGTCCACGTTACCATGGAACCTGACTGCGGGGGTCCTGGTGAAAAGGCACCCTTGGGTGAATTCCATGTTGGTGGACTGTGGTATTCATTTGGCTGTGGTTCAAAAACCCGGTACCAAAATGGAACCCTGGTAAGTGGAAACATGGACCAAAACCTGCGGTTGGCCCCTCCTGTTTAATTTTGAGCCACACCCAAAATTTGGACATGTGTTGTTGTTTTTTTCCAGGGGATGAAGCAAGTGGAGGACAGGCGTCCGCAAAAATGGAGGGCTTCACGCGCAAAAATGGCGGCCACTGACCCCTTCTGAAATCTTGAAATTTGAGAGGCCCCAGAAAAGCGAGCCTTCGACTTCAGGACGTGGGTGCCTCCAGATTGCAAGAAAGATGTGTGGTTGGCCTTTGAATTTTGAGCCACCGGAAAAAAAACTGAATAAAAGACACATGCTCCACTGGGACGAAGACTGAGGGGAGATATTTTGAGAGAGAGGGAGAGACAGAGAGAGAGAGAGAGAGAGTCAGGCTTCAGCATAGGTTTGCGCTGTTCTTACTGAACAGGCCCCCCCAAAAAGCGCCACAAGGGTCTCGTCACTCCCTCAGTTTCTGGATTTTTTTTTTTTTGCTTGGGTCTGGGCCATGATTTAATTCGCATATGCGCTAGGTGAGCTTCATCAAGCAGGATGCGGTGGTTGTGCAGAAGTGGTCCAGAAGCTCGGTAGCGTAGACCCCACTCCAACTCTCACTTGCCCCAGGCGAATCGACCTTTTGGCGATTTGGTTTCCCCTTTTGGTCCATTCTTAGTCATGGCTCCAAAAGGTCAACCTTTGATTTCTGGGTCAACTGAGGGCAACTGAGCGAAGTGCGCGGTGTGTTTGCGCTCTTTTTCTTCGGGCATTATGTCCACCCCTTAGTAAAACAGGCGGTAGTTGCCGTGGGATAATACCTGACTACAAAGGGAGGTTTGGAGGGGGGCGACTCTTTTTAGGTTGGTTAAGGAAACCCAATAGAACATCACCAGTCTGCCCACCTTCTTGGAAGATTCCTTGCTTTACGGAAAAGGGAGCTGTGCACCAAGCTGGAAGAAAAACGCGGATATGGGCAATGGGTGTGTCTCTTAGGTTGAGGGATACCCTTTTTGGGGGCTGGCTTAGCGGGAAACCACACTTAAAACACCCATGTAGTGGTTCTCTCATTTTGAGACGCAGTGTTGCGTTGGGATTGCCAATTGCGTGGGAAAGCACAAGCAGCTCACCCAATTTGGGGGTTGCCTACATGAAGACAAGTCTATGTGGGTTGGTTGCCACTCTGAGCGATAATGTGTTGTGTTTTTCTTGCTTGGTTGAACATAAAGGGACTGGGACTATCAACAAACATATGAGATACTTGTATGTAAGTTGTGTCTGCCAAAGACAACAACAACGGAACATCGCTATGAGCTTTATATGGGGAGCATCAAAAGTGGTTGGTGGACATAATCCCCACCTAAATGATTTGTAGCAAAGGGTCCCGAACTAAAATTGGATCCGGGTATAACCTGCTTAGTAACTTGGTTGAAAAAGGCAACCCCCAAATGAGTGGCTTGCTCAATAGTTCCCTGGACACCATGAGCAGTGTACCCACAATACGAAGTCACATTTTCACTGTTCTTGGATCAAGTTGTTAGTTTTCTTTTTGGTTCTGTACATGTTTAGGTTTGGGGCCTGCAAAGAAGAACAGACCCAGCTTTTTTGCCAAGCCCGTACTGTTGATGAACGAAATCCATTTCGCACCACCTAAGAAACCCTGAAGTGTTGATTCTCCTGTAAATACCAACAAACAATGGTGTCTCGACGATGCTGGAGAGAGAGAGAGAGAGAGAGAGAGAGAGAGAGAGAGAGAGAGAGAGACAGAGAATGGTGTCTCATGGTTTCATATCAACAAGCGTTATGGTGTCCACCATGGTTTCTGAGGTGGTGCGAGGTGGAAATCGCAACCATCCACAGGCGAGGCAAGCCTTGGTTGGCATCGCTCAGATGGCCAAGTCTTGGTTAAGGTTTCTATTTGCCCAGCGAGGTTTCTTAGGTGGTGCAAATTTTCGTCGCAGGTGCCATGTGGGTTGAAGCCACCCCGTCTCAGGAAAGAAGATGGCGAGGCTCAGGAAGCGCGAGGGCAAAGGCATCGGCCTGCGCCGCTTCTCCTCCCGGGTGGAGGCGGGCTCGGGGTCCCGCGGGGCTCTGCTTCGAAACCCCGCCCCAGGCACAGGCGCCCCTGAAAAAACGGGCAAAAAGAGGGAAGACCCCCAAAAATCAGGGCGAAGCGAGGGAAGAGCGTCTTTTGGCTGCGTTTTGGCGGGATCTTCGGGCTTCAACTTTGTGGTTGAACAGGTGCATTCTCCCACAAAGCAGCAAAGAAGGCCATAAACGCCTTGCTTGCGCGGGGGGCTGAGCAATCCAAACGGTCGAGAAGCTTCACAAAGGCAGTGCAGGCAAGCTGGCCTCCGAGAAACTTTCTCAGTCGAGCTCCTGGACTTGCCTTAGGTTCCCCAGTGCCCGACCTTTCTCCCCTTTTGTGGTTGGGAGATTCGGCTCCCCTACTAAACTAGACACAACCGAAAAACAGTTGGTACCAACTGATTCTAACCTCTCAAATCTGGAGGACCTCGTTGATGCCTTTGTGCAGGTCCCCTGAATCGGTGGTTTGGTTTGGGGGGTTTGGATTGGAACATCCAGCTTCTCGTGAAGCCAGTGCGGAAAGTACGTCCAAACCACCAAACCAATGCGCCAACCAGGGGTAAGGTTATGCGGGCAAATAAGTTCGGAACTGTTTTTTACCAATCCACCAAGTATGGGGTAGGATGTGTTTTAGGCATACATTTTTTGTTGGGCACAATTTATGCCTGTTTTTCACTGTGTGCCGAGAAGGAACTTGGGTGTGACTGCTTGATTCTATGATGCTGTGGCTACTGGACCCCTTTGAGACCGGACGCAAAGGATTAATACTGAGGGGTGGTCATGTGCGCGTATATACACAGATGCATCCACACATATATATATATATATATACACGTATGTATATTATATTTTATACCTGTACATATCTATGTATGGCTCTTTTATCACGGGTCCATGATTACCCCGCTTTTGCCTGCAGGAGTTTCAGGAGAAGAAGGAGGAGAAGAAAAAGGACAAGGAGGAGTCTCAAGAGTTGCAGACCGATATGGTGGATGCCTTGCCAAAAGGCTGAAAATTCCCGAACCCCCACGCTGAGGATTCCAAGGAAGGACCCTCCTGGTGGTTGGTTTCCTTTGTCGGTTCCCCTTGAGTTACCCATCCCAAAACGGGTTCCCGGTTTTGAGACAAGCCAAGAGCCAGCCAAAGGCTGCCGAGAGCAATGTAAAGGGCAGCTTGGATGCCAACCGTGGCTTTCACAAGGCGGTTGATATATTTGGGGCTACCCAGGTCTAATATATACCACTATGAGCATGACTAAATATGGTTTCAAGAAACTCAACCCCATTCTAATTATCTAAACCCTTGTACTGCCTCCTTTGGCACCAACAGGAGATCCACGGAAGCTGGCATCCAACAGCTCCCAGGGTCCTGTAGACCATGTCACCTTCGCTGCTTTCCTCCGGACCTTTGAAGCGCCAGCGGCGGCAATCCGCGTGTTTTTTCCGGCACCCATGCTTTGCGCTTGGTGCAAATCATCCTAGACCTCCAGAATGGAACCTGACTGATCCTGAAGACCAGTTTCCTCCAGGCGGGGCCCTCCTTTCTGGGTTCCATGTGTCCTCCTTTCTGGGTTCCATGTTAAAGGACAGGCTCACTTGCCCAATCCGAGTCGATCGGATGCGACCTGTTGGTCTGTTTGTTCGCCAAGGCTCGCTTTTATTTCCAGGGCCTTTGGGATCCTTGGGCAAGGGACTCGTACAACTCTTGGCCGCCTGAACGAGGGCATGTGCCAAAGACTAGGACCTCACAACCGGCGGCTCACGGCAGAAAAGCGCACAAAGAACCGGGCCGGGGGGTAGGATGGGTAGGGTTGCAAGTGGCTGAAATGGCAGGGGACAAGTACGTCTCACTCCCCGAGGTTTGGTTCCTGATTTGGCCACTCGGCTCAGATGGCCTTGTTAGATAGATACAGGGAGAGAAGCGATCGATCGAATTGATGTGGTCCCTCTGGCACCTCAGCAAGGGTCCCATTCGGGTTCATCCTCCACTTCCATTTGCTGGTCTGAATATTTATTGTTTTCTTCGGTTGGTTTTAAAGGGAATCCATCACTACTGGAAATATGTTGTCATTTTTTGCAGGGGCCTTAAGCAACTGGATGTCCAATTCGCGGATGGGGCAACCAATGGAAAGTGAAGAAGGGCGAAGTAACTACACCTTATTCCCCCTCCTGTGGATGTTTGTGAAATCCGCTTCTCGCACCACCGTTCAGGCACCCTGGTTTCTGATAATTCCTTGCAAATACCAACAAGCAATGGTTTCAACCATGCTTTCAAAGTGGTGCACGATTTCGTCTATGACAAAGTTTGGTGACAAAGTTTGATTTTGAAGTACTGAAGCCCCGCCCCCTTGTTGAGTACTACCCCCCCTTATGCTGGGCTTCGAAATGCAAGTGTCCCGATTGCAACTCGGTCCACGCGGAAGGCCCTATTGCCCAGAGTGGCCCTATTGCAGTAGTCCACGGCTCCCTTGCAACATTTGTTTGCCCAGGGGCCTCAAACAGATTTTCCATTGGATTCCTCCCCCCATGCGGTTTTGTAGGAGCTCCGTGTTCATTTTCACATGGGAGAAGAACCGTTCCCTCCCGCGAGCCTGAGTGGCCAAACCCGTGGCCCTAGTTCCAAATCGGTAGGTGGGAGAAATCGCCTCTCAGATACTTGGAGGGAGACAAAACGAGTCGCACGGCGCCCGGCCTACGGCAGGCTAACCAGTCAAGCTCGGACGTCAAGGCAGGGTCCGCCAAGCAATGGCCGTCTACGCCAAGTTCTTTAGTGGCATCCTTTTGGATTGATTGGTTTCGGGGTTTGTCTCAGAGCAGGGGAACCCACAAAATCCTTGGCATGCTTTTGGCTTCCCTTTAAACAAGCCCAGAAAGCCTCAAGAAAACACGAGCCATCCATTTTGCAATGGCCCCAGCCTCAAAAGGGCTTTGATCACTTTCATTTGGTTAAGAATATGTTTATTTTCCCCTGTTGGTTTTAAAGGGAATCTATCACTACTGGAAATATGTTGTTTTTCCAGGGGACTTAAGCAAATGGAGGATCAGGTTCCAACATATGTTTCTCGGACTGGGCTGTGAGGTGTTCGGTTCCATTGCTCCCTTCGACATAAAGATTCAGCACAGGGACTTTTGGAGCAAGGTATACTTGTTCCATATCCTCACATTTGCCTCACTTCTTGAGTCCCTGGACTTTGTCACTCTTTGGCAGGGCTCCTTAAAAGATACATTCTGCAACCATTTGACACTGGCTTTTTCAACACTAAAATAGCAGGAAACCACCATTTACAAGGCAATGTTCAGGTGTATAATGCATCCAGATCCCTGTTTGGGTTTGGAGAACTTTAGCACTAAACCAACCAAATGATTGTTTTTTTTTTTTTTTTTTTTTTTTTTTTCTCCGGTGCAAAGGCGCGGATGTCGCCAGCTCAGCACGCGGATTTTTTTTTGCGGCGAGGCGGTCCCGTGGCCGGAGAGATAGAAACAGCCCAAAGTATCACTTCCGATCCAGGTGGATTGGCCAGAAGTAACCTACATGTTTAGCTAGGTCCCCAGTAGTGCCCTTTCTCACCTTTTTTTGGGGGAAGGTTCCGGTCCTAAAATAGACTATAGATAAAGGTTCCCTTATTCTAACCTCTCTACTTCTACTGGAGGACCTAGTTAGAGAAAATTGCCCAAACTCAAAGAGTGACCAAAATTTAGAGGCTCAAAAAGTGCGTTCAAATACATGTGTCCCATTGTTTCCCATGCCTACAAGCATTTGGTTTCAACCATGGTTTCAGTTTCGCCTCCTTTTTGGGCCGGACGGTGGTTCTGATTTGGAGGAAAGAGAGAGGGGGTGTTAGGGAGTTGGGTTGACCCTTAAAGATTGGGGTCGTTACCCAACAAGGGTTCATCACCCCATATGGCTGTGGGTCAAAATTAGGGTCACCCCAAAATGGCACCCTGGCAAATGGAAACAATGACTAAAACCAGTGGTCCCCTGTTGGTTTAATTTTGACCCGTACCCATGTATGTACAGGGTCATGAATATAAGCTCAGGTGATACCCCCAACAGCATGCGGTGCTCCTTTTAGTGCTCGCACCACCCCACAGCCCTCGCAGAACCTCGTCTGGTGGAACCCTGGTGGAACCTTACCTCAGGGCCGCCCCGGACCACCCCGGAGCCTATCTGGGCTAAGACCCCAAAGCTTTCAGCTGTTGGGGAAAAAAACTCCTGGGTGTTTTCCGGGCAATAGGCTCAGTCTGGCTCAATCGCAGGTGTCGCCGCCCGCGCAGACTCCGGGCACTGAAGATGTGGCCCAGGCCGGGCTCATGCTGACCCCAAAGGCTCAGGACACGGGGTTTCCCAGGGGTGGGGGGGGGGTTCCAAGCCATTCCCCTTGTTACTTGGAGCTTTGTATTTTGTTCCTCAACTAGGTCCCCCAGCAAGGGGCCCTTTCTCACCCCTTTTTTGGGGGGGTTTCCGAGCCATGTCCCTTGTTGGAGTGGTTTTTGAAACCCTCGACAAGGTCCCCCAGCTGGGTGCCCTTTCTCACCCCTTTTTTGGTTGGGAGGGTTCCAAACTACGAAAAGAGACGTCCTGAAAAAAGTTGCTACCCTTATTCTAACCTGTCTACTGGAGGAGCTAGTGAAACCTATGTGTTTTCAAGCCTTGTAATTTTAGGGAATCAGCAGAAATGGCTGTGGGACAAGCGTCGACGCAAGAGATCCTGGTTATGAGGATTGGGGCTCTGGTCGGCCAGACCGCTGTCGGATTCCGGACCACTTGAAACAGAGGAAGGCTCGCCATGGATCACTTCCACATTGAAAGGGGGCCGTCTCTTATAAGTGTGGGCCTAGGCGACCTTGCCTCCCTCTAGATTAGAAAACGGAACTCAACCACGCTAGCGAAGTCTCCATTTCAAATCCTGGGGTTAGGGCCAAATACAAGAAGCATCTCAACTGTCTCCCTCAAACTGTCTGGAAAGCAACACATGATATGTTTCAATCAGGCTCACCTGCCCAAGGCAAAACAAATCGACCTTGTGACAACTTGATATCGTTCCCCCATGGTTCATGAACAACTTCTGGCCCCAAAAGCTTCGGCTTATGTTGCTTCTCTTTCCGGGCCCTTGGGGCTGAGAATGGGCAAGCCGGGTCAGCCGAACCAAGGCGAAGGCCTAAAAGCGGCTTGCTTTTTGTTTGTGGCTTCCCTTCACGGCTCTAGGTATCCTCAGAAAATAAGCCCAGATGAGTCGCAATCAAAACCCGGGTAGACATCGAAGTCCGGGTAGATGAAGGTTAGTAAGGGACAATTTCAAGCAGTTTGAATTCTTTCCATGGTTCTGAGTAGGCCATTGTAATACCAGGTGTTGGTTACTCAGATGCTATCCCCAACAGCCCGCGCATTTTTTGCAAGCTTCCGGCACCCTCGAATTAGAGCTGATTTGGGCAGAGACCCCAAAGCTTGCAGCTGTAGGGGAAAAAGAACCTCATTTTCTTAAGGAGTCAAAAGTGAACTTCCATGGGCAAGTGTTTTTTGGCAGTGTCTTCTCAGATTGTTGCTCTTTAGGGACATGTCTATGGTTCAAGTGGCCATAAGTGGAACAAGCTCGCCGAGGGGTTGAGAGTGTCCCCATGTTGAAGGTCCTACTTCGGGCTTTAGCATTGCCAGATTACTCCGACCATGCCATTCCTCTCTGGAATAGAAGCTACTCCTAACTATGGTTCTCCGCACTAATTAATCCGCAAGTTAAAATCATTTTTGCCCAGATTCCCAGCGCCCTGTGTTGCTTTCTTTGGGAAGTGTCTCTTAAAATCAACTGTTTCCCCACCCACCCACCCCGTTCTAATGCCAAACAGTGCTCAAACATTAATACCAATTGGAAGCCCCCCAAACAGTCTTCCCCCCAAATCGTGATCAAACATCATTTGTTGCCCCCCCACCCCCCACAAATTTGTGGTCCTTCCTTTTGGAAGTGTTTTTGGTAAAATCAACGGTTCCCCCCCTCCCCAAATTCTTGTTCAAATAACTAGCGCCAACTGTTTCTAAGACAAAATCATCTAAGTACTTGGTCCTCCTCTCCGCGAGGCCGAGCCGGAGATTCCTTCGGCCTACCTGGTGGAGGATCCGGGCCTCTTTTTTTCTCGGAGTCTCCAGGCTCTTGGGTTGTTCTTGGTTGTTGGGAAACGAGGATTGAAGCCGAGCAAACCGCAGTCCCCAGTTCGCTAGTTGCCCCAGACACCCAGTTGCTTGGTTGTTGTTGGGAAACATTTCTGACATTTTTGCTTTTTGTGGTTTAGTGGTTGAAATCCAACCACTGAACGGCTAAAATCTCAGAATTTTTGCTCAACGTCAACCAAGTATGTGAGAGTTACAAGCAAGAACGCGCCCAAAAGCACATCCTGACTGAAGTCTGGCCTCGTTTTGGTTTACCAAGGCCGCACCCTTTGTGGCGTAAAGCCCGATCAAAGCACACCCACGCGGGTGTCTAACGTGATGTAGTTTGCAAAAGGACACCTCTCAGTGAAGAAAGCCTTCATCAGGAAGCCGTGTGTTTTTGTTCTCCTTTTTCCGACTGGGGCGAGCAAGGGGGTAAAGCGTTTTCCCAGCTGGGCCCGCAATCGCGTAATTTGTCCAATGCCGCCCGCCTTTAAATTGAACGGAACCGACAAGCAACAAACTAAAACATGCCACTAAGTTACTAGGAGTTAGGGCCCCCCCCCGGCTGAATATCACTTTCTATTCCTTAGTAGTGCATACAGAACTTCCTGAGTTTATAGACTTCAAGCTTTTTAGACAACTTGTTTAGCGCAAACAAACATTCAGTTTGTTGTTGGAGGAAGTGAGAGAACCAGCAAACCAAAGAACTAAAATAAATGTCAAGCACAGCGGTTGTATTCGAATCAGCTTTGGGGCTCAATTCAGGCTTTGGATTCAAGCAACGGGAATCCAAGATTGACCCCCGCCCGTGACCTGGTCGACGACTAGAGCGGGTCCCCTCAGAGGAACACCGAATCAGACTCGCGAGAAGAGTTTGCCTGGTTCATTAATCCGAGGTCAACATTAGCAGGGATGTGGAGAAGAAGGGGTTTAGTCTTGGTGGCACCCAAATCCGTGAAATTGCATCTCCTTGTATGCCCGTGATTGACCCAACAGAAAACAACATCTCCGGGCTGTCGGTGGATGGCTTTTGTTCTTTTTCTTCCTCTGGCATCCACAGGTTCTGGCGTTTTGTTTGCTTTGTTGTTTCATTCCGTTCATTGTTTCTTTTTGGCTGGGGCAGCGGGGGTTGCTGCACAGGGTGTTACTGTTTCCACCAGACGACTTGGTAAGTACAGGGGTGACCGGATTTCCTTTGAAAACCTCGACTCTCTGTGGTCATGGCATAAACCAAACGGAAGCCAAACCGAACCTGCGCTCCACGAACAGCTCGGGCAGACTGGGGGCTTCCCTTTGGTGGATTGGGTTGGTGGATTGGTGTTTTGGAGGGGTTTCCCCTTGACCCTCTACAAGATCTCCCGAAACCAGCGGGCTCCAAAGCACCAGATCGCTTCCCGAGTTGGACTTGAGTCACTTTCTGGCAATATGGGCCATTTTGGTGGTAAATAGAAAGTGTTTGTTTTCTTTTCTTGGCCTATCCACATCGGACGTGAGGCTCGAGGGAAGCTAAGAGAAGTATTTCGACTCGCAAGGACGAAGTGGACCTGCCCTTTGCGGAAGAGCCCTTGGAAAGCGACGAGGCGACTCGGCGACCGAAACGAAAACGACACGCCGTCGGTGTTCTCCAGCGAGGGAGGCAAGGAGAAGTCATATGCCAATGGTATGTTGTTTGCCTGGTTGGACCACCCAAAGGGCTTGGTTTTCCGTCAACACCACCAAAGAAGGGTATACCAGGTCCATCCCCCTCAAAAAAGAGATACCATCATATACTGCCGTTGGTCCGCTAGTTGCAGTTGGGAACAAGGGGAACCCTGCAATTGTGTTCTGCGAGTGACTGGGATTGACTGGAAGCTAGCAGGGTTTGCCGTTCCTCCCACTGTAACTTGCAACCTGTGAGAGGGACCTGGAAGAAAGCAGTTCCTCATGGAGGGACCAACTCCCTGTCAGGTGCCATTTTGGTGACAGGGTACAGCACGTTGCACGAGTTTTCGTCAAGATACGGTTGCTTCCTTATGCCCCCTTCTTTTTTGCGGGGGTTTGCAAAACTGCTGGTTAACAACCCGCAATACGTCAACCAGCCAACAATTGCGAGCTTTTTGCAGCTGGGATCTGTTTGGCTGTCCTTCATGTTCCCTTTCAACCAGAAAAATTGTCAACCATCAAAATACGGGAGCTTGTCCTTTATGTCCCCTTTCAACCAGGAAAAAATGTTTCCTTCATTTCCCCTTTACTTAGTGGATCACCTTCATTTCCCCCTTCAACCAGCAACAAGTCAACCAGCCAAAGCATGTGAACTTTTTTCGACCTGGAAAATGTGTTTTTGTGACATGCGATCCATGCCTAAAAACCGCCGCGGAAGGAGCCGGAGGCAATGGACCCCCGGGTCCTTGCAGAGACCCCCACGCCGGCGCCAACGCCCACGCCGCCAGGCGCGACCTCACCCTGAAACTTAGCTCCCTGAGCTCCCTGGGGTTCCCAAGGCCACCATTGAAAGAATGGCAAGGACCCAAGTTGGATGAAAGTCCTTAGGTAAGTCATGGTGGTTATATGAACCCCCTGTGGGTTTTAATGATACACTGATTGTACGAGCCTACCGGTCGGAAGAAAGAGGGAGGGGGAGGGCGACGAGCTAACCCATGAAGGTTCCTTGGGAGTTCCTTGCTTCCGATTCACGAGTAGTAATTCTTAGTTGTTCAAAGCCGACCTTTAAACCGATTGGGTTTCCCTTTTTGGTCTGCTTTTAGCACAGGTCCAAGAAGGTTATCCTTTTATTTCCAGGTCCTTTGGGCAACTGAGAATTTGATGTACTTTGCCCGTCTGCTGTTGAGTTGGGAAAGGGCCCTTTGACTTTGCAGAGGTTTCCTAATGGCTTTTTTACCTCTTTTTCCCAGGTGCCCGATATCAGGTGGGTAAAGGGGTAAGGGACATGTTCCACTCGGGCCTTCTGGGTTTGCCAGGTGTGACCTGGGGGCATCACAGGCGCGGCCTTCTCACGAGCTGTGTGCTGACTGTACCTTGGTCGGGTATGTTTTTTTTCTAGATTGCTGCCGACTTTATCCACTGAGTGGAATGGCATATTGCTACTCAAGGAGATGCAGTTATTTGTGTATATACACCTACATTTCTATGTTATACATAAATGTGTGGATATTGTCTCCTTGTTTTTAGGGGGCAATCCTGACCTCACCTCCCAGAACGACAAAAGAAAAAGACATGGCCCCATGGCCATGAGGCAAAGGATGTCTACCCAAGAGTGGTCGAGTGGATTGTTTGCGCAGTCGGCCTTGGAGAGAGCAAAGGGATTTGATTTGTTGTTCTTGTAACGCCTTTTAACGGAACAATAACTATTAAGAAGACCTTTTTAAGGAAAATCACATTTTAAGAACACTGATGTGTTCTTCTACCAGTTGAAAGGTTGCTGGAGATGAGGCCATGTTTATTTACACTGAAAAAAAAGCGAGGCCACCTTTGGAAAGCCGTCGAGGGCTATGGACGTAGGAAGGCCCTTATAGTGGCGAATATGGAGTTTGGGACCTTGTGTCATTGGGGGCCCACTGAGAAAAGCGCCAATCAAAGGAACCCTGCACCAAAGGACAATCAATGGCATCCGAAAGGAGCCCAGTTTTTAGAACTGAACCCATGTAGGGTTACCCAAGTTTTTTTTCTTCCGCAAGTGGAGTCCGTTTCCTAGAAGACAAGGGTTTGCTGTTGCTTTCCCTTTAAACATCAACTTCAACAAGGGGCCCGGACGTTTTCCATTTGGCAGCTTCCGGCAGAAGCCGAAGCCAATCGAATTTGACTTCAGGACGCAGCCATTCACGGGCCCGGAGAACGAGGCGGAGGGCCCGGTCATTCGAATGTTCAGCCCTTGCGGAAACCACGGGAAGTTCTTTGGGGAATGGGGCAAAATTGAACCACCCGAAAACTGGCTTCAGTGTTTTTTCCATCAAAAATCACAAAACCCCAAACAGATTTTAGTGCGTTGTTTTTCCGCTTACCAGGGTTTGATTTCGAGGTAGCTATGATTGACCCACGCCCATCACGCATGGAGGTTATTCAATCAGCTTCCCTCCAATTGAATTGATCGTTTGGAGACCGGTGGTTTGGATTTCTCCCCGTCCAGGAGGATTCCGGCTGAATAGTTCCACCCATCTGCATCTGGTGGGTGCCTTTCCGCTTTCCGGTTGAATTCTAACTTATTTCACTTGCAACAAGGGGGCGAATCGACCCGATCTGACCTTTTAGTGTTTTTGTCCACGCACATGGCTCTACAGAGCTCGCACCATCAACCTTTTGTATTGGCCGTGTTTGTTTGCAAGGTTCGTAAGGGGACCATGACCAACAGATCAGCCTGAGACCATAATCCATGGTCAATTGTATTGTTGCCCATTCGGGTATTTCTATTTGGAGGGTACCCACTGTTGGTTGGGAAAACGAAAGCAGCACTTTCGGGGTTCCCCCATTCTGAGACACCCCCGATAAAAGTCAACGAAAGTGCCCCTTCCTCAGAGACACCCACTTGGTCTCTCGGTGCGGGGTGGGATCCTAATTCCGTTGCGTTGTAGTCCGATACAGCCAGGCCCAATGTTCTCGTTGTTCTTAAGAATAAGATGTTGTTGCGTGACAAATTTCAATGCATGAATTCTAAACTACTGTTTTTGTTTAGTGCACTAGTTCCAAAAACTCCAGTAGTACCGAATCACCTTCCGCGGCGCTGTTTGTGGCATGGAAGCACGGCGGTGCACTACGCTTCATGGTGAAATGTGCGGCAGGCCTGTGTCCTGAACGGCTGCACATTGCACAAGCCCTTCATCCTGCTTCGGCACATGTCCATCCGCAAGCGCCCTTTTGCTGAGCATTCGGAGGCTGATGCCGTCATTGTTTGCAGGACAGTTGCGCCTGAGAAGCACTGTTTGGAGTCCGGAGCACTTGATGGGCCAAGCAGGCACTTGCAAAGACACCGCCACCGAAAGGCCGAAAGACAACAAAGTAAAGACGGTAAAGAGCCCAGACTCGGGGCCCATGCCTCCAAAGATTAAGCTGCGCAAGCAGTGCAAGGCAGGTATCCAGAAAAGTTTGGCATTGATTCCGTGAACTGTCAGCGACCTGTTTGAAGGGTCCCATTTACTGCCTCAATTATCCACGGCCAGTCTAGCAAGGCACGCTTACGTCCCAGTGCTCCTTTGTCTCACCGGGCATCAATGCTGGGCCAAGGACGCTTCTCATCAAAAAATCGGGCTTTTGTTGGGCAAAGGCTTTCCTTTGGGTCTCATGCGCTTTGTGGCCACGCAAGGGCTGGCGTTGACACCCATTTGTCCCGCCATCGCGCTCTTGGCTGTCGATGTGAAAGTGAAAGTGAGACATATGCACGTCGAGAACAGCCATTCAATTCCACATTCACCAGATGGCACTTGCTCCCAATTGTTCAGCCACCCCCCTTTCCCCTATTGTTTGGAAGGCCCTCATTGAAAAAAGCAACCCAAAGGGGTCTCTCTCTACACGGGTCACTGGGCTTTGACTGGGCGTGCGTTGATCCAGCATCGTCTCGTTTCATTTATCGGGTCTGTGGAAAAAGCACAAGATTGGCTACGCAGCATCAAGACAAACAGCTCCCACGTCAAAGGCGTGTCCAATTCAGCCATGAATGTTGCATCAAGGGCACAGCGAGACCACAAAGGGCTGTAGCCTCACCTGCGCAGGGTTGGGTTTATGAAGGTGAATCCTTACCATACCCTCCCACCAACATGGAAGTGCAGGAACCCCCGTTTCCAAGAGGAGAGCTACCCATAATCCGGCTGGTGCAACTTCCCATTCTTTCAGGGGATGCTTCCTTCTAGAGAACTGCCAAAGCCAGCAGGAACGCCTGGTTTTGGACAACAAGAATGATTGAAGCAAGTGAAGGATTATTCAAGCCCTGGACACCCGGTAAAATTGGCCGAAGAGGTGCTTCTGGAATATGTCCTTCGCAAGCGCAGGCGGCTTCTCCTGCGCCGGAGTCGCGAACGGAGAGCCCGTTTCAGGCCTGTTTTGGTTTGAGTGTCCTTTGCGTGCTGGTGTTTAAAGGGGAAGTTTCGCCCCCAACCTGGGTTTTTGTTCCATTGAGAGGGTAATACCCTTTACCCTCCCACCCCCGAGTTTCCTCATTAGGTACCCCAGCCCCCGCGTCAGCTACTATTTCCCTTCCGCGCGTCAGGTACCCCCCATCCCCATCCGCGCGTCAGCTACTATCCCCCTTCCGCGCGTCAGGTACCCCCCATCCCCATCCGCGCGTCAGCTACTATCCTCCCTTCCGCGCGTCAGGTATGCGTCAGGCGCCTACACTCCCGGTCCGCGCGTCAGCCCTTCTGCGCGTCGTCAGCTGCTACCTGCCACATGTCAGGTACCGCCTGGCCCCATCTGCTATCCCCTCTTCCGCGCGTCAGGTACCCCCCCACTCCCATCCGCGCGTCAGCTACTATTTTCCATCCGCGCGTCAGCTACTATCCCCCTTCCGCGCGTCAGGTACCCCCCACCCCCATCCGCGCGTCAGCTACTATCCTCCCTTCCGCGCAGCAGGTATCCGCGCAAAGCGTGAGCGTGGCACCCCCCACTCCCGATCCGCGCGTCAGCCCTTCCGCGCGGCGTCAGCTGCTATGCGCCCTGCCGCGAGTCAAGCACCCCTGACCCGATCCGCGCGTCAGCCCTTCCGCGCGTCAGGTGCCGATCTGCACATCCCACCTTCGTCAGCTTCTATGCGCCCTGCCGTGTGTGAGGTACCGCCTGACCCGATCTACTATCCCTCTTCCGCGTGTAAGGGGCCCCCCATTCCGATCCGCGCGTCAGCTACTACCCCCTTCCATCAGGCATCCGCGCGGGTGCGCCCTTGCGTGAGCGTCAGGCACCCTCCAATCCCGATCCCCGCGTCAGCGGCGTCAGCTGCTATTCGCCTTGCCGCGCGTCAGGTTCCCTCCGCGCGTCGGCTACTATCCTCCTCGCACGTCAGCTACTATCCCTTCCGTGCGTCAGCTGCTATTCGCCCTGCCGCGTGTTAGGTACCGCCTGACCTGATCTAATATCCCCTCTTCCGCGCGTCAGGTACCTCCCATCCACATCCGCGCGTCAGCTACTATCCCGCTTCCGCGCGTCAGGTACCCCCATCCCCACCCGCGCGTGAGCTACTATCCTCCCTTCCGCGCGTCAGAGCGCGTCAGGTGCGCCCGGAGTGTGAGCGTCAGGCACCCCCTAATCCCAATCCGCCCGTCAGCCCGTCCGCGCTGCTATCCCTAACTACGAACTACGACACTAACTAACTAACTAGCTATAACTAACTAACAAACTAACTAACTAACTAACTAACTAACCGCCTTACCCCTCCCCTCCCCGCCTCCAGCCTCCGCGCGTCAGCCCCGCGCGTCAGGTACTCTTTGAGTGTTACAGGTCCGCGGAGATCCCGCGCGTCAGGCACCTGCTGTCAAGATCCCGCGCGTTGGGCACCTCCCTCCTCCCGCGCGTCAGGTACCACCTTTCCGCGCGTCAGGTGCCGCGAAACTTGATCCCGCACGTGACAAACATTTTTTCCCGCAACCAAGTAAGCTACCAAGCTACCTAACTAACTACGTCACTAACTGACTAACTAACTAACTAACTAACTAATTAACTAACTAACTACCTAACTAACCAATTAGCCAACTAAGTAACTTAACTAACTAAGTAACTAAGTAACAAAGTAACTACCTAACTAGTGAACTAACGAACTAACTAACTTACCCCTCCCCCCCCCCCCCCCCCGCCTCCAGCCTCCGAGCGTCAGGTACCCCCGCGCGTCAGGTACCCCCTGTCCGTGCGTCAGGTACCGTGAAACTCGATTACGCGCGTGACATATATTTTTTCCCGCAACCAAGTAAGCTACCAAGCTACCTAACTAACTACGTCCCTAACTGACTAAATAACTAACTAACAAACTAAGTAACTAACTAACTAACTAACTAACTAACTAACTAACTAACTACTAACTAACAAACCAGCTAGCCAACTAACTAACTCAACTAACTAAGTAACTAACTAGCTAACTAACTAACTAACTAACTAATTAACTAACTAACTAACTAGCCGCTTTACCCCCCCCCCCGCCTCCAGCCTCCGCGCGTCAGGTACCCCCGCGCGTCAGGTACTCTTTGAGTGAGGTTACAGGTCCGCGGCGATCCCGCGCGTCAGGCACCTGCTCTCAAGATCCCACCCTTTAGGTACCTCCCTCCTCCCGCGCGTCAGGTACCCCCTGTCCGTGCGTCAGGTACCGTGAAACTCGATTGCGCGCGTGACATATTTTTTCCCGCAACCAAGTAAGCTACCAAGCTACCTAACTAACTACGTCACTAACTGACTAACTAACTAACTAACTAACTAACTAACTAACTAACTAGCCAATTAGCCAACTAATTAACTTAACTAACTAAGTAGCTAAGTAACTACCTAACTAACCAATTAACTAACGAACTAACTAACTAACTAACTAACTAACCGCCTTACCCCTCCCCCCCCCCGCCTCCAGCCTCCGCGCGTGAGGTACCCCCGCGCGTCAGGTACTCTTTGAGTGAGGTTACAGGTTAGCTGGGGTACAGCCTGAGTTTCCTTTGCCTTTCTCACCGGCATGCGCGCAGGCCCCAACTTGTCGTTTACGTTTTTTGCACAGCTCCGAAGGCTGACTTCACTGTTCTTGGCATGTTGTTCCCCACCCGACAGGAAGGGGTTGTTAGATTTTATGTTGGAATCCGCGTTTGCGATGCTCCTACACCACGCCCCCACCCAGTATCCCGCCAGAGCAGCTCTCCAGTGGATCCCGCCAAGTATTCCGCCAGAGCAGCTCGCCAGTGGATCCCGCCGAGCATCCCGCTAGAGCTGCTCGCCAGTGGATCTCCCGCCCAGTATTCCGCCAGAGCTGCTCGCCAGTGGATCCCGCCGAGTATCCGGCCAGAGCGGCTCACAAGTGGATCCCGCCGAGTATCCCGCCAGAGCGGCTCGCCAGTGGATCCCGCCGAGTATCCCGCCAGAGCTGGCCAGTGGATCGTGGGTCCCGCCAAGCATCCCGTCTGAGCGGCTCGCCGCTGAATCCCGCCTATCCCGCTGAACGTCCCGGCAGAGTAGCTCGGCAGTGGATCCCGCCGAGTATCCCACCAGAGCAGTGCGCCAATGGATCCCGCCGAGTATCCCGCTGAGTATCCCAGAATAGCTCGCCAATGGATCCCGCCGAGCATCGGATCCCGCCAAGTATCCCACCAGAGCAGCCCGCCAGTGGCTCCCGCCGCTTATCCCGCAGAGGATCCCGCCGAGTATCCCGCTGAGTATCCCTTCCCGGTGGATCCTGCCGAGTATCCGGTCAGTATCGAGCCGGAGCGTCGCCAATATTCGCCAGTGGATCCCGCCAGAATCCCGCCAGAGCATCTCGCCAGTCTGGTTTTGCTGAATGTCCCGTCCGGCGCACAGTTGGGTTTTCATTTCATGTTGGCGCCTTCGTATTTTGAGTGTACCCTGAGGGGTGATGCTTTTGTGTTGCTTTGGGTTGTGAATGAGCAACTTCGTTGAATCCCCCGTCGGGTTTCTTTTTGGAATGGGCTTTTGCTAACGGAACCGATGTTTGAGTTCTCGAGATCGGCTCGCAGACAAGTGGAGTTAGACACACAGACAGGTGGACAAGGCCCCAAGCCACTCGAAAACCATGCTTGAATTCACACAACCGTGTTCACGGTCGTACACTCGTGAGTGTGGAGGGTGGGGACTGCTCGAAGCGGAGTATTTTGGTTTTTTTAGTTTTTTGGTTCTGTTCATGTTTACTGGGGGTCTGCAAAAAACAAAGTTTTTCGCTACCATACCAAGAGTAGAGATGCTGAAAAAGTGACCCCCAAAGCCTCGCGACTTTGAGCGCAGGCGCCATCCTCGCCACGGGCACAGGCGCGTGGCTGGATTCCATCTCGGGTGATGGGGACTCCGAAAAAGCCTTCCAAACAGCCACTTGGTGGCTCCCAGCCATCCGGTTCCTTGGGTTTTGAGATGTTTCTAGCTTTGTAGGGTTTAGTGGGGTTTCCATGTAACTTCACTTTTAGCGCGGGATCTCTTTGGAGAACACGGAAAGCTGGGACCCTTAGGGTTGTAAGATGAGCTCAAGCCAAAGCAAATTGAAGGGGCGACCCTTCCATCAACAAGAATCCCTTCCATGAGCGAACATGAGTTCGTGCGCACTGTGTGCCAACTCATTTTGAGGGTAGACAATGCAAGGAGATCAACAGACCATCCTGAGTTACAGGCTGTTCCTCACATTTTAAAGAACCAACGTACAACATAAGTCGAACATAGACAATACATAAATATATAGTATATACATATTTCTACATATACATACATGTATATACTAATAAATATATATATATATATATATATATATTCACATGGTGCCCCCCCCCCCCCCCCCCCCCGCCCCGTTTGCCCCCATGATATTCTCATGGGCCCTTGTAGTTCCCCTGGACCCGCGCACGCGGACAGGGCGTTCACAAGCCTGGTACACAATCCCCTGAAGATACTTGCTGGGCCCAGGGAATGAGAAATGGGATGACCCTTATAAACCATTTTGTGTGGTTTTCCTTTAAAGGGACCCCTGGGTTCATTCCCTCATTCCCTACCCTCACTGCCTACTGAACACCAGCAAGGATTCCCCTCAATCAACCCCAAACCAACTTGAAGCTAACCAAAAAAAGGGAACCATCTCGTTTGCCAGCTTTCATTCCTTTTCTTGGAGGAAGTGCTCTCAGTTGCCACACAGCCGCAGGAGGATCCTGCTTTCCGATCCTCAACCTGATTTTGAAATACGCCGTTTACCCTAGTTGTTCAGGGTCACCCAGCAAGTCTGTGTTGGTTCCTCTTTTCTAGCATTAATGGGATGGGCAACCAAGAAAAAGCGCCATTGGCGAGGGGTTGACCGATGTCCGCCGTTTCAGGACCCTGAAGTTGGGGAAGAGCCGCGCGCTGATTCGAAGCCAACCCAGGCACCGCGCAACGTGGAAGTCGGCGGGGGGGGTGCAACCTGCTACGAGGCCCTAATTAAAGTGGGGCTGTGGAGGACGTTGAGCAAATGAAGTCCAAAACCAAATGGGATCGTATTTTTTGGGGGTGCCCTGTTGGGGTTGTTCTAGACGCAAGCCACAAGGAAAGCACACATTTTAGGGTCTTCCTCACTTTGGGAGAGGGCAATTCCCGCAACCCTGATGCCTTCTCATGCTGAATTCGGGTCTGGGTATATATACATAATATATATATATATATATACATATACAGAAATACCCGCCTATTTTACAGTGAGCTCACCTGGGGGTATAGCGAGCTCACCATGACAAAGGTCCTACACTTGGGGATCCCCCAATTCAGTTCTTGGAACCAGGTTCACCAGCAAAACGGTGTCCTGCAGGGTCAGCTGCAACATTTGCGCAAGCAATCGCAACCATGACAGTTTTTGCTTCTTGCCGAATTTGAGATGGCGATGGAGAGAGAGAGAGAGAGGAAACAAAAAGAGAGAAGAGAGAGAGAAACAGAGAGAGAGAGACGGAGAGAGAGAGAGAGAGAGAGAGAGAGAGAAAGAGAGAGAAAGAGAGAAAGTGATACAAAGAGAGAGAACGAGAGAGAGAAAGAGAAAGAAAGAAAGAGAGGGTCCGGATGAGTCAAAACAAGTCAACATGTTCGCCCAAATGGTTGTCGTTTGCCTTTCAGGGACTTCACCGGAGGGGTAATTCTGTCCCTCTCTCTTGCACTCTCTCTCTCTCTATCTCTCTCACTCTTTCTCTTTCTCTCACCCTACTAATCAGAAAGGAACCGAACATAGATCACAAAAGGGAACCACCCCTGATTAGTACGTTCCTCCGGACTCATCGGAAGCTAACATTATCCTTCCTGCCACTAACATGGCACCAGACAGAGGGTCCCTTAAAGACGAAACTGATCTTCCAGGTACCCTCCCACAAACGCCTTCTGTTCCTTGGTGGCTCCCAGCCATCCCCTTAGCCTTTTTTGCTTTTTAGTGTTTAGTAGGGATTTCCGTTTAGCCCAGGGATCTGAGGATAGCCCGGGTTGGTGGGAGGAAGGCGAGTTGTTTCAACGACTTTTGCTTCGGTGGCCAGGACCACCGCAACGAGGAAGAGCTGCGCTGGGCCAAGTCGGAGCCGTCCCAGGCCGCCGCTTCTTTTGCGCCAAGAGAAACGTGGAGGTCGCCTTTGGGAGGGGGCTGTTGGGAATCCAAGGAGTTCCTGCGGACCTGACCTTTTGGTTTCCACTTGTTGGGTTTCTAGTTTTGCAACCCTCCATTGACTCCCGGGTTTCCGTTCTCCCCTGGTACGCTCGAGGCACTCATAGCCGCTTGAGCCAGTGGCCAGTGCCCTGGAGAGTACTGCAATGGCGGTTCCACAATTAGAATCTTTCATTTGGTTAAGGCCCCTAACGGGCAAGTGAGTCCTGGACGTCGGTCAACTTTGGGGGTTGGACCACTTTAGAGGCAAGCAAAAAGTTCAGACTTTGTTTGGCCAACCCACTGAGGAAGTAAGTAAGACAAGAGCAAACATGTACGCACGGTATTCTCGCAGGATGGGTCAATTGTGTGTTGTTTCATGTGTTTGTCCCATGATGAGGCAGGGGGGTGTTTTGAACCTAAAGGATTTTTGCTTCTGCACACACGCACACGCATGAGTCTCGCAGCAACCCATTCCCTCCATTTGCTTAGGAATATGTTTTACTTTCCCTTGTTGGTTTTAAAAGGATTTTATCACCACTGGACATATTTTCTTTTTCCCTACAATCATGCAGATCAACATGGAACCCAACGGGCATTGAGTTTTAGAACCACAGACAGATTCGATGTCAATTTGCTTTTTATGCACCGGCGACCTGTTGCCAATGGCACAAAACGAGGATTGAAACCGAAATCGCAGTCCCCAGTTCGCTAGTTGCCCCAGACACCCAGTTGCTTGGTTATTGTTGGGAAACATTTTTCCGATATTTTTGCTTATTGTGGTTTAGTGGTTGAAATCCAACCACTTAACGGCCAACAAATGTGAATTTTTGCTCCCCAAACCCAACGTCATCCAAGGTTGGGTGCTTCCTTCTTTTCATGTTTGTTTGCGGGGATGTCCCATTGAATCAAACCACCAAAGGAGTAAGGGGTGGCCACAGAATTCGACCAACAAGTTCCCGCTGCATTGCTGTCGCACTAGTCCACGTTCCCGGTAAGTGGCAAACTCCCTGGGCGGCGTTTTCGGGTGAACCGCGGGCCATGTAGATCATTTAGATGTTGAGATCTACTGCCTTGCGTTTTCCGGGTGCTCTGGGCTCAATTTGGGTAGGTATCCTCGCGAGGTCTCAGCAGTTTGGTGCAGTGCCAGGGTGCCAGCCCCCATCACTTTTTGGCGGAGGAAATGTTCTGAAACATGGGTCGGGCATTTGGTGCTCTCTTGGTTCAAGACCGGTCTCCTTTGGTGCCTGCCGGATCCTTTTTGCGGGTTGACACCCCTGAGCTCAGGAGAATATGGCGTTCATCTCAATTCCATCCTAGGATAGAGGCTGAAACGGACCCTTGGTGGATGAATATGACGGCGTTCCATTTCAAGAGGGGAGCTCCTGGGAAAAACACTCCGACAATCCAGCCGGTTGTTTGATCCAGGATCAACATTATGTCAGCATGTCGATTCGCCGCCAGGGTCTTCACACCGTAGCAAACGAGCCAGAGGCACTGGGGAGTGCGGGGCAGGGGAGAAGCTTGTGGTGATGCATTCACTTGCTCCAAGCCGACCTTTCGACCCTTTAAATTCCCTATCGTTAGGTCACCCAATGGATGACATGGTGGTGTCTTCCTTTCAACTCTTTCAAGATACCGGGCCACTAAAGAGCCCACCCACAGTCTTTGCTGTGACCCCAATGCCCCTTAGAGCTGTTAAGCAAATCAATGGAACTTGTCCATTCAAGCTGCAAAACTCACTTCCTGAGTTCATGGACTTTATACTTTTTGGGAACACATTTTTTAGTGGCAAACAACAAGCTCGGTTACTGCTTTTGCCAGTCCACTCGATCGCCAAGTGCGAAAGAGCCTATAACGACCGTTTGCTCAGTAGGGGCGCGGGCCACCGGCAGGTCTCCGACGCGGACAACTCCAAGCTCGAGGCCGCGCGAGTTGCTTGAGTCAAAGACCAGCAGGTGGCTGCTGCGTTTATGTGTGAAACAAAAACCACAATGCACTCACTTCCCCAGTTTCGTGACTTTAGTCACTTTTTGGGTTTGGACCATTTCAGTCGTGAATAGAAGGTTTGGATTTTTTTGGCCTATCCGCTCAGGACGTGAGCGTATTAACATTGTCGTGTTCCTGGTTGTTTTGCTTTAGACCAACCTGGGAAAAAGGTAAACCCTTAGAAAACAGCAGACACATATGTGGCTCACTGTTGTTGGTTCACGGTTGTAGGTGTTTGAGTTTGTTTGGTTCTGATTGCCGCTGCTCCAAAAACATGTGCTTCCTACGGGTAGGCCAAGGATAAGGAAGATACAGATTCACGCGTAGCCTTTCAACTACCTTCGTTAAGGCCCCTTTGATTGACTTCCTTTGTCCTTTTTGGAACCCCTTGAAACGCGGTGCATGTCACCAGGATCCAAGCAAGTGCGCTTACTTGTGACAGCCCTTGGTTCATCCGCGTGGTTTACCGTGCCCGTTTCCTTGGGAGGGGTCCCCGGGATTCTTCGAATGGGTGGGTCACAAATTTTGGGGAGTTTCCTGGTATCACTTCCTGAGTTCATGAACTTTAAACTTTTTGGGGTTTGGACCATGTTAGTGGTGAATATAAAGTTTGGACTTTTTTTGGGCCATCCACTCAGCCAGTGAGTTGGGGAGTTTCCTGGTAAACGAGTGATGTGGGGAAAATTCCGCAAATTGCGGAGCCGCACCTCGAACGCTTGGTGGGTCCCAGCCATTTGGTTTGGCGACATTTCCTCTTGGCTCCCGTTGAATCGGTCCCGGTTCGTCCGGTTCAGCTTCGGTTCATGGATGTTTTTTTGTTTCATTTCGCCCACCAAGCCACTTTCAGTTTTTTAGTCGATCCGGCGCTTTTAGTTTTCGAGTCGTGGGGGTTTCGTTTCGCCCACCAAAAGTTGCCTCGACTTTTCGCGCCCAGAGAAGTGGATCCAGGCATCGAACAGAAGTTTGGGGCTTCCTTGAGCTCCCCAAGAAGACCAACTTTGGACCCATCCGGGTGAGCAACGCTGAGCAACGCCGAGCCCGGTGATGTTTTTTTTTTTTTTTTTTCGGGACTTGCGATGGAAGTCGTCGAAGTTGGCGTGGAGTAGGTGGAGTGGGAGTGGGAGTGGGGGTGGGAGAAATGTCGACCGCAAATTCGACCCCAAGCCCTTGCTTTTTGGCCGGCGTTTGCTTAGTTCTGAGTTGCAAGCGAATCGACCAGATCTGACCTTTCGGTTTTGGGACGTGTTTTGGTTTTTCATTCTTAGTGGCCCCAAAAGTTGATCACTCCCGACCCTGCTTAAACATGACAGCTGGAGATCGAGTTCCACTTATGGCACGCTATTTTCTCTATGTGGACTAGATCCACATGGTTGACGGGTCCTGGACGTTTTCCCCCACCCCCCTCCCGTCCATCGGCAGGGCTTGTCCATCATGCACTCGTTCTGAGGGGGGGCAAGGGGGTTACTGCAAACCACTTAACCTCCTTTATCCTCCTTTAGCAGCCTTTATCTACCGTACTTCCTTTAGCTTCCTTTAGCTTCCTTTAACTTCCTTTAACCTACTTTAGCTTACTTTACCTTCCCCAAGCTTGTGTCCTTCCTTTAGCCTCCTTTAGCTTCCTTTAGCCTCCTTTAGCCTCCTTTAGCCTCCTTTAGCCTCCTTTAGCTTCCTTTGGCTTCCTTTAGCCTCCCTTAGCTTCCTTTAAGTTCCTTTAGCCTCCTTTACCTCCCTAAGCATTGCAGTAACTCCCCTTGCCCCCCCTCAGAACGAGTTCATGAGTCCATTTAATTTGGGTTTGGTGTGTGTCTTTTTCACCCAAGAAAAAGGGCTGGGTGTTCAAGGGAAACCGAAAAGGAGCCAGCATTACTTCGACTTGCTGAAATGAATATGTTTTATTGTCCCTTGTTGGTCTTTAAAGGGATCTTCTTTTCACTCTTGAAACTCTGAGCAATGTAAGTGGTATACTAGCAAAAGGTAACTGGTATACAGTATATGTGCACATTATGTGCACCATTTTGGCACAACAATTCGGCATAATCATGCCATGTAAGTGTTTACCATAAACCAAGAAATGGCCATAAAACCATGCGCATTTCAGTGCCCAGTGTTTCTCAGATGCTTCACATGTGTTTCTAGCAAACACATGAGAAGCATGTGAGGAGCACAGAGCCATTATCTACAGATTCACACACATCCAGACTCATTGCTACACACATGCGGGTTGGTAAGTTGCTTGCATAGCTTCCACACATGTGCGTTGATTAAGTGCTTGATATTGTTACAATACAGTGAGCATTGGGTGGGTAGGCACTATGGTTGTGACACGCACGTGGTGCATTGTTTGCCCTCATTGGTTGCATGTGTGCTTGTGTGTGTGTGTGCATGTTCATATTACTGAGAAGATTGACATGTGCTTCTGACATGAAACTCCTGTGCTGAAGAGCGAAGCACAGGAGTGGCATGTCCAAAGCACATGTTACATGCCAACATGGAACATGCCCCGGTGCAAGCAGCAGCTGCAGCGGCTTGCCCTGCAGCATGAGGAGGTCTGCCTGGCGCATTTGCGAGTACAGCTGCATGGTTCAGAGCGCATCTCAGGCTGGACTGCTGGATCCACTACTGGATCCACTGGATCCACTGGACCGATTGCCTTTTTCAGGCGGCGGCGGCCTGGGCAGAAGGACGTGGCGTAGGCGTGCACTGCCGCGATGAGGCTGAGTCCCTCCTCAGCCATGCGGGCTTGCAAGAAGGCCTTCCTCTCAGTCCTTGGCGTGCTGGCCGGCTTTGCCAGCACCACTTGGCTTGGCTCTTTGGGCTCAAGCATGGCGTCCTGTGGCTTATCCTTCGGCTTGCGCCGACTGACCCGGCCATCCTTGACACCTTAGTTGGGCAACTAACAGGCCAGCTGCGCACGATTCCTCACTTGCAGTCAAAGGCCCTTCAGGAGTCCTATATCCGCACCTTGGCTGCAGCCCAGCAGCTGCTTGTTTGACTAAGTGGCTTAAAGAACCACTCGTCGCGACAGTGGAGGTTTGAGTCCCTTGTCAGGGGTCTCATGGCCCTCTTTCGTGTGCGAAGCACAGACATGCCTGGGCAAAGCAAGTGCGGCCTGCTTGATCAAGCTCGCAGACAAGGCAGGCACGGACTTGGCGGGTGGCCTGGCACACTGCCTTGCACTTCTGCAAGGTCTCCAGGAGAAGTACTCCCTTCCTGAGCGATTTGAAGAAGAGGCACCTCAGGGCGCCTCAACTTGCTAGACAGCTTGCCAGCAAGCATTTGTCGACCTCTCCGTGCCTCGAGAGCCTCCTGACGCCAAGCATCGAGAAGACAAGAGTGCTGCGAACTCAGTCCTTCACGACGTCACGCGGTTCAATCTTGTCTGAGATTCTCATATGTATCCCAATGTGCCTTTCATGCAGAGATCATGCAAGCATCAATGCGTGCAAACATCAGAGTGCACAAGGTCCAAATGGGTGAGTGTAAGCAAGCTTTAGGAAAATGAAGGCCCCAACAAGAGGCAAACACCCAAGCAGTGCCACGCAGGGTGCCTGTAATGGCTGCAAGGCAATGTGGCTGCACATGCAAGTTGCTACACTAGCTGCTACACCAGCTGGGCGAGAAGACATTGATTGCTGTAATTATAAGGGCTGCACTGAACCCTCATTGTCCAGTTATGGGCCACACGCTTGGCCCCAGGCATGGCCAATGATGGTCCAACAGTCCTCAGGCGGCTGTCAGAGTCAGAGCGATCATGCGTGATGCACATGTGGCTTGCTCTTTGCGGGCACTGAGTACTGGATGGGCTTGTCAGTGTGGCCAAAGCAAGCATGGCAGGCGTGAGATGCATGACATGCTCTGGCTGAGGCCCTAGCGCAGTGCGAGGCCTGCCAGGACCAGTGGGACATGCCATGAATGGTCAGCAGGCTGAAGCCGGGCGTTGCACTTTTCCTCCTCTGCCACATCCGTGGGCCCTTGAGACCACCAGACCCACTGTAGCCACTAGAAGGCTGGAGCGCAGCACTGGATCCTACTTGATCCCATAGCCTTCACGCCTGCCACGTCTGTGAGACGAGCTGTCTCACATCTTGGGAAGGCGTGAGGTAGTGCCTTCTGCAAGGATGGTGGCAAGGATGCGTGATGTGTGAAATGTATTTGAAGAATGTGCATTCTGTACTGTAAGCCAGGAAGCTGGGTGCAGTCACGGCACCAGCCTTTGCAGCCAGTCCACGACCGCTCTGCCAGGTGCTGCAGCTCCACCTCATAGAGCTGGTTTCAGGCTGACACATCTATGCAAACGTGCCAAGTGCCAAGCCAACATGCAAATTACACTGAGCTGCTTTTCAGCAGCCAGTGGACAATGATTGCTGCAGCAACGCTCCGGTGTCTACCAGCGCTGCAGGCAAAGCAGAGGCTGAAGGTCTGTGGCGTCTTGATCGCCTTGAGCCACTGGAGCCAGCAAAAAAGACCCCTCCTCAGTTAGCACCAAGTAAGTTTGACAAAGGTTCGTGCCCATGTGCCTGGTGTCCCTCGCCGGATCGTGGAAGGCATGCACAGATCAAACATGGCATAGGTCTTCTTGTTTGAGAGCTGAGCTAGACCAGCTGAATAGACATGCGCATCAGGGATTTGGCGGCCACACTCACCCCGCAGGAGCAGTATGCTTGTTTTCTGGAGCCTTGGCTTTGTGCGGCTTTGGCATGGGCTTGGGCTGGGATGGCTGGGATCTTAACTTTGGTGCTGCCCTTGAAGTGGCAGCATCATCATCATCATCATCATCATCATCATGATCATCATCATCATCATCACTGCCTGGATCAACTAGATCCACTGGATTTGGGGTGGTATCCTCTGGCACTGGGGTGGCTGGATCCTGTGGATGGAAGTGACTGTGTCCGCTAGATCCACTGCATCCACGAAATGCACTGGATCCTTGGTTGGAAGCACTGGGGCGGAGGCTGGCTCAATTGGACTGTTCTCTTGCTCAAAAGCCTCCATCACCTCTCTCCGGCTCTCCTCCAACCACTCCTGGAGCTACCTTTGGATGACTTCTTCCTCAGCCATAGGACAGGGTTTGAGTGTCAGGCAAGGAGGGCTGGTTCAAAAGTCAACAGCCCCTGTCGCCAGGAGCAGCACCGGGATAAAGTCAGGCGTCACCCTCACCGGCGTCCTTCGGGCAACCCACAGGGGAGACTGCAAAGCACAAAGGGCGCGCTTTGGTGCGTGGTGTAACATAATGTAACAGAATCACACACTAGCCAAACCTTGGGTGCAGTTTGGGCAGGACAAGAGGGTCCTGGCTCACAGGGAGGCTCAATGTTCTCCCGCTGCGCCAGCTCTCGGTACTCCGCCAGGCACTCTCCCCGGCAAAAGGCAAACAACCATGGCTGGCGGGAGGGGGGTAGATGTGCTGAGCTGCTGTGCCTGCTGAGCGCCTGCTGTTTGCTGATGAGTGCCTTGCATCCTGGGCCAAACTCCTCGCAGCAAGTGCGCATGCTATCATGCGCTAGACCTGCGTGCTGCCCACCCCAGCCTCTCAGAACATCTCGTTGTGCTCCTCAGCTATGCCTTGGAAAGCGGAACCGATGCGCACAGGGGAGGGATGCCATATAAGGGAAATGTGAGAAGAAATGCAAGTGCGAGATGCTGCACTTCCCATAGTTGCATCTCTTGTCAGGCCCCTCATGAGCTTTGCAGTGCAATGCAAACACCCGTGTTCAATAGTGACACTGTCAAGTGAGAAGTACGTGATGAACATATCGCAAGCCAAAGGGGGGCATAAAGCAGCCACACGATACGCATGCTTATCTCATGCATGCACTGCTCCTCATAATGTCTCGCACTTATGCAACGTGCTCTGTCCCCCGCACTTTTGTATGTGTCTAACACATGCGCATGTCTCTCATATGTTTGTCATAGTTTCTCATATGGTTCATATTTCTCATAGTGTCTCATAGTTTCTCATTCTCATAGTTTCTCATTTTTCTCATATTGTATCATATTTTCTCATATATCCCATAGTTTCTCATTTTTCTCATAGTTTCTCATATTTTCTCATAGTCTCTCATATTTTTCATATTTATCATATTTCTCATATTTCTCATAGTTTCCCATATTTCTCATATTTCTCACAGTTTCTCATATTTTATCACGCACGTCTCATAGTTGCTATCATATGTTTCTCAGATGTGTCTCATGCGCCTCTCATATGTGTTATCAAATATGCTACGTACTTTCTCACACATTTCTCATACTTTTGCATATGTTACCCACACGTTCTCACACGTGTCTCACATGTCTGTCATACACTGGCATTATGCCACTAGCTATTTGCTTTCAACATGTCTACCACTCAGACTCATGCACATAGCTGTGGTGCATAGGAGTCATATAGTGTCAGGCACTCAAACATGATTGTGCAATGCAAGCATGAGGAGGCCCGCCCGGGCTTCGTCATGTTTGAATTGTCAGTCATGCTGGCATGCTGCTGCCCTCTCATTGCCCGGTCACTCTTTATGACACGCTGCTATTGCAAAACGATTACGTCAGAGGAAGTGCGCCCCACTCAAAGTGTTTCCTTACGGGTAGGGTCCATGCTGGCTACAGAAACACACGCTCACTGTGACCAAGACTCATCTTGTGCGTGCATGCGCTCTGAGGTTTGGTCAGCTTGCCATAGTCCATGCAGAGGTCTGGGCCGGGGGAAGGGGGGCACCACTACCCATGGGCAGCCAACGCTGGCTCAGGATGCTCCAGTCTGAGGAAATTGTTGAAGCTGGTTCACTTGACCCTGGTTTACATATATTGCTACTCATGTGATTTCAGCCCAGTGCAGAGCGCCCTGTTTTCTCCTCCCACGTGATACTTGAAGCAAACTTCAGCCATGGTAAGGGCAGGTGTCCAAGGGCATGCCACCCAATATGAAAACCAAAAGAACATATTGGATACCTACTAGGAGCCCGAGACCCAAAATATAAGGGCCTTCATTGCAAAGTGAGAATAATGGAGCCAGACACCCCCAAGGCCCTCCAATGGAGGGTCCAATGATCCTCATACCCCTCTGACTCCCCGCAAGCTCTCTCAAAGTGGACCAAGCAAAGGGGTGCTGCCCAACAAAAGTGGTGCTCTGGGTTTTGACCCACGCCAAGTGATCTGCTAGTTGGCTTCCCCTTGGTTTTCCTGTTCTGGCAGATCTGTAAGGGTCACAACTCCTCAAGACCCTTGGACCCTCAAGACCAAGCCATTTGAGGCCCCCAAACCAATCGACGGTCCAGTGGTCCAGTGCTAAAGTTTTCCAGTGGCTTACTGGACCACTGGACCAATTGGCCCCCTCCCAAAGCCATGCCTTTCCATGTGGCCCTGCTACTCCCCCAATGTGTCATCAAAGCTTAAATAGCAAAACTGTGGCCCTGCCTGGCACAATGTTTGGAGGTGTCTAGTAATTATAAGAAGCCATGCGCTCTGAAACATGCAGCTGTACTCGCAAATGCGCCAGGCAGACCTCCTCATGCTGCAGGGCAAGCCGCTGCAGCTGCTGCTTGCGCCAGGGCATGTTCCATGTTGGCATGTAACATGTGCTTTGGACATGCCACTCCTGTGCTCAGCTCTTCAGCACAGGAGTTTCATGTCAGAAGCACATGTCAATCTTCTCAGTAATATGAACATGCACACACACAAGCACACATGTAACCAATGAGGGCAAACAACGCACCACATGCGTGTCACAACCATAGTGCCTACCCACCCAATGCTCACTGTATTGTAACCACATCAAGCACTTAATCAACGCACATGTGTGGAAGCTATGCAAGCAACTTACCAACCCTCATGTGTGTAGCAATGAGTCTGGATGTGTGTGAATCTGTAGATAATGGCTCTGTGCTGCTCACATGCTTCTCATGTGTTTGCTAGAAACACATGTGAAGCATCTGAGAAACACTGGGCACTGAAATGCGCATGGTTTTATGGCCATTTCTTGGTTTATGGTAAACACGTACATGGCATGATTATGCCGAATTGTTGTGCCAAAATGCTCTGGTTTTCCCCCATAATGTGCACATATGCTGTATACCAGTTACCTTTTGCTAGTATACCACTTCCATGGCTCAGAGTTTCTTGGCTGTTGTTTTCATTTTTCCCGAAGGCGTACTCGCAAATGGCATGATCTTGACTTGGATCCTCAGTTGTCCAAAGCCGACCTTGTGACCTTTTGGTTTTCCCATTTTGGTCCATTTTTTAGTAGAGGTGCCAAAAGGTTAACCTTTTAGTTCTGGGTCCTTTGGGCAACTGAGGATCAGATCCTTTGGTTGTTTGTTTTTGGTTCGGTTTCTCCAGTTGCACGGATTCCCCTCCCCCCCTTATAGTTGCCCTGGGGGCTGTAGAAAAACAAAAAGCCATAGTTGGCATATGTTGGCATGGGGTTGTTGTTGGATAGTAAGGGTTTTTGTAGTAGGAAAAGCCCATAGTTGGCAGGGGTTTCTTGGATTGGTCCGGTTTTTGGTGCCACGGTCCTTGGCCGCTGGCTGGGTTTTTGGCCCATAACCCGTTTGGGTTTCTGAAGCTCTCTCCGGTCGGGTCGGGAGAGCCGCAGGAGAAGCTCCCGGAGGCGCTTGGGGCGCTTGTGGGGTCAGGTGGAAATGTCCTTTCCTAGGTCCCCCAGCTAGGTGCCCTTTCTCACCCCTTTTTGGTTGGGAGGGTTCCCCAACTGAAATAGGCTACAGAAAAAAGTTGGTACCCTTATTCTATCCTCCTTACTGTTGGACCTCGTTTTCAGCTGGGAGAGTTTGCGGACGGTTGCGGACGGTGGAAACGTCGGTGGCTTATGAGACAATTGGGCAGTGGGCTTGCTTTTCCAAATGAACTTCCAAAGGATAGTTTTGAGGACACTCACAAGTTAGGGATTGCTTTTGCAAATGAACTTCCAAAAGATAGTTTTGAGGACACTCGAAAGTTAGGGATTGCTTTTGGATAGTTTTGAGGACACTCACAAGTTAGGGATTGCAGTTCCAAGTGAACTTCTGGGACTTGTGAATGAATTTCCAGGATGTCAGTGACAGGTTGGGGGCTTGATTTTCAACTGATCTCCTTCGCCTCTGTGCCGAGCATCAGGGCTAAAACGAATGAACTTCCGTGGAACTCCAAGCAGAGCGTTGCGCTTCGAAGCGTCTAAAAGCGGGCAAGTAAAAGAGGTGCCGCACGCTAGTGCCCGTATTACCGGTTCTTCAGCTACGATAGTTTTCTCAGTCGGTTCGATATGATTGGCCTTACTTTGTGTATGTGTGTGTTGGTTCTTGGCGTTCTCCGTGTGCATGGATACGTCGGCTGCTGCGCCCCTGACACAGCCTTGCTCAGTCTTTTGCACGCAGAGCTTTTCTCGGCTGCAAACATTGCAAACCTCAAAGTGTTGGGAACTTGGGTCTTTGTCTTCGGGGGTTGAACGCAAAGTTGTGCAGGGCTTACGTAGATCTTCCGCATGGAATATTGAGAGCCAGCCCAATTGTTTCTTGAATATCCCATGTGCTTAGTTTCAATTTTTATATGGCAAATTGATCCTTATGCCTTATGCCAGATGGGTACGGGTCAAAATTAACCCACCAGCGGACCGCAGGTTTTAGTCCGGGCAACCCATTTTGGGTACGCATTTCTGACCCACAGCCGGATGATTCCGTTTGCCTTTGCACGAATTATGCCGTAGGGTTCCCCCTGCAGGCAGGCCCAAGTTCCGGCGAGGCCGCTCGGCTCGCTCGGGAAAGGGCGAGTCGGCATTTGAGAATCGGGTCCTTTCATGAGGTGCGCTGAAAAGACGGTCATGTGCTGACAATTTGCTGCATTTGTTCATTGAAGAGCACGGTTGGTGTTGGGTTGGAGGTTCCAGTTGGGGGTCCTTTGGCTGAAAGAATCGTTTGTCTCTTTTTTTTAGTATGTTCACCTGTTGGTTTTTCTAGGGAATCCATGTCACCAGCGGACTTACGCAAATGGCAGAATCTCCAGGGTCCATTTGGAAGTGTCTTGTTGTGAGGGCATCCTTTTTGGGCCAAAGGTTTTGCAGTAGTGCCCTTTTACCCTTTTTTGGGGGAGGGTTCCCCTACTAAAATAGACTACAGAAAAAAAGTACTCTTATTCTAACCTCTCTACTGGAGGACCTAATAGGGCTGTAGAACCAGGGCCCGCTGAACCTACAGCCCCCTCTCCTTTGTTGGGGGGGTTTTAATGGAAATTCAGAGGAATGGAAATTCAGACAAAGCCATGGGGCCGTGATAACGTGAGTGGGACAGAAGGAGGCTTGCAGACGGAATTTTGGGAGGGCTTCTTAAAAGATATCGATTTATAGTTCTGTCATTTTTGATATTTCCTTTTCCAGCAGACCAAAAGGAATCAACCATTTTGTTTTGATGGCAATGTTCAGGTGGATAAGAAAAAAAACAACGTTTACTTTAGTCGACGTCTTGGGAATTGGGACCATCGGCAAGGACAACACAGCCGAGCCGGAAGTGGAGCCGGGTATGGGCGAGGCGCTGCCGCATGCGATGTGATGACTCGAATATGTTTTGGGCGCATGATTTGAATGGGTGGCGTTTGGCAGTTTGGCTTGTTTGTTGCTAAAGTGTGGTCTTTAAACACCATTTGCAGCATATTTTTTGCGGGGCGCATGATCTGGCAGTTTAGTTTTTATTGCTCAAGTGTGGTTCTGAACCACCATGCCTCCGCAGATATTCTGCGGACGCCAGGGGTGTTGCTTGTAATCATGTTGACGCTAAGTACGGCCAGGCTCAAACATATGTGTTTGGGTTCACCAGCTCCTCTCCACGTCGGAACGCACCATAAATCATGCGTCTTTTGGAAGGATGGTCCAAGGGTACACCTTGGAGCCTGACTCACTGCCAAGCTGATGCCCTTCCGATGGTTCGAGGCTTTCGGAAGATGAAAACTAGGCAGTGGTTGGAAGAGAGCTAGGGACATGCAAGTTTGCCTTTGAGGGAGCCTTTCGGAGCTACCAGGAGTTATGTCAAGACATGGGGCAAAGAACCACTTTGGCGGCATTTGTTTGGGGCTGGAGGGTGAACCTTTGAATCTCATGCTGGTCCTTTTGGCTGCATTTGGCTCGTGCCAATCTGGGAGGTGCCCGTGGCCAATCTGCCGAGCCCAGCTGAAGCCCTAAATTCCTGGGTGCGAGGGCGGGTGACACGCCGGGAAGCGTGATCCTTGATATTTAACATACCCCCAAAACTACCAAAGAACCAATCCAAATCACAAATTCAGAGGAAGCTGGTATTGTAGGTATTTGTAGGTGTCACTAGCTTCCTCTAGAAAAACATGTAGCCTTCCAGCTTCCATGTTAATCTGCAGGAGTGTGCCGAAAACATCACCACTTGTTGCCATGTCGGTGGGCGGAGCATCCAAATGTGATTCAACGCTGAACAAGCGCGTCACACACATAGCACACCAAACAAAAGATTGGATGGCCTAGTTTTGGTCTACCTGGGGGAAGAGTTCAAAAGCTTGCGTAGCCTTTGGAATTGCGGATCCTTGAGGCAAGTGAGTTTGACCCATATCTCGGCCGTTCGGAGGGTTTCACGCTTTCTCGCTTTCCTAGATTCAGGGAATCAACAACCCCTTGTGGTTTATAAGCGGTCGGCCTCAATACTCGTTTGGGGGTTGACCCCCCCAACATGGTGGTTCCTCTTTAAACCAGGATTAAAATGTGAATCACCCTAAGTACTCATTTGTCCTTTGGGCCCCGCTGGGTTTTGAGATCTTCCTTCGCCCCCGCCGCGAATGATCCGAAGGCGGAGGTGCCGAACGAGGCGGAGGCGCCGGCGGAGAAGCCGGGCGCGGCAGAGAAGCTGGGCGCGGCAGAGACTCCGGAGGAGGCCGGGGTGGGCTTTCATTCCAAAAAGGGGGGGCATGCCTCAAATAGTGCAAGTGAGAGGCGTTCCTGCATTCCCTGCCTTGTTTAGGGCATCTACCGTACCTCATCTAGTTGCTCCAAGGGCACCGGGTTCAGGGCCCCCTTTGAAGTGCTCTTTCATTCCTCTTGAGTGCATCAAGCCGCATCAAGGCCACAAAAAAAGCATCCACACCATATCCTGGATCCACTTGAAGGAACTTCAAAATTTGAAGGGGGTTGACCTCTGGAATCCATTTCTGGTTCCATCTTCCTTTTGTAGGGCAGACTTGAAACATGGAGTTGGACCTCACTCCTCTTCCCCCTCATCTATAAAACGGTTTGGATTTACGGTTGTTGGTACATTTCACCGATCTTTCTTCCTTTTGTTGGTCGTTTAAGAATCTGTGATTGTTTTTCTTTTCATCTCCAGGTGATCCGCAGATTCGGACATCCAAACCGTTTTCTAGACATCGCCCTTACGGAGGGCGCAGTCAAGTCCCAACATCCCGGAGGCTGAGACGCCCGAAGTCTTGCCAGAGGCCACAGCTGAAGCTGCAACCGAGGAGCAACGTGCGTTTGGTTTGCGAAGACATCCCCACCCCCTTAAATATGGAATTGGGGGAGGGTGCCCCCTGGAATTCCATTTGTGGCAACCCATGTTCCCTTTTATGGGGAAGACTAAATGACTAAATAAATGGACTTGGGGATCCCCCACCCCCCATTCCCCTCTATCGGTAGGGATGCGAAGACGTGGCCTAGCAATTTGCGTTTGCTTGGAAGGGAGACAAACGAAGGGAGCCAGGCATATGGTTGTGGTTGTCAAAACCACTGTATAAAGGGTTTATACTCCAGCTTCCCCTTGGGTGGGTTGGGGGTGGTGGTTGCACCTAGATATGGCTGTGGGTCAAATCCAATGGTACCATTTTGGGGGGGTTTCCGTGCAACACCCATTTTAGAACCTATTTTACTGGTTGGATTGGTTGATGTTCACTGGGGGCGCGATTTGGATTTTGACCCATGGCCATATCCACATTTGCTTTAAAAAAGGGAGCCTGGAAGGAGCTGGCAGTAGTTCTGTAAGACCATTGTAGAGTTTTACTTTTGCCTTTGCGGACCCCCTGTTGGGTTCCATGTTGGGGGTTAACGAACATTCCGTGGGTGTGGATATCCGCCCTTCTGGTTCTTTGCATGGTTTTGGGTAGCCCCCTTGAGAACCAGAGTCTGATTCTGACTCATTGTAGGCAACCTATTATCTTGACTGCTATTGGGTTGGATCTTTAGACTTTAACTTTTTGGGAAATCAGGGGGTTTTCCACTAAACCCCCAAACAGTTAAGCTTTTTGCAGGGGGTCTGCAAGAATCACAATTGGAAGCACTAGGCCAGTCCAGGCGCACCCTTCTTCCTTTTATCACTTGCCCAAAGCAAACGTTTTGTCTATGTTTAGTAAAGGCCCCAAAAGCTTAACCTCTGTTTTGGCGCACTGAGTGTTTGGTTGGTGGATTTCCCCAAACCGACTTCAGATTCTTTCTTACTGGGGTCACGCATGGGTCACGCATTTGGCTTTTGCAGGGGTCGCACTTGTTTTGGGTGGTGTAAACATCACCTTGGGCTCTTTACAGTGGGCCTCGCTTTGGTCGGGTGGTCCTCAAAAGGAAAGGGAATCATCACGGCTGCGTAGCTAAAGGTTCATCCAACTTGGTGTTTCTCACAGCTGAGGAGACCCCCTCCAGTCTGTTAGGTTTCCTTTTGGTTTATTAACCAGGCTCCCGCCTGCTGCCGCCGACCCTCGGCGCATTAAGGGAAAAGTCACAAGGACCGGTCCTGAAACACGTCCGCAAACCCAGGGACCACTTATAAGATCCTCTACGACCACAAACAAGGATTAACGGAAAAGTCAGAAATATGGCAGCTAGTCCGTTAATTACCGCTTGGGCCGGCTTGCGCCCAAGTCACTTCGAGTTGGCCCGGGAGCGCCCTGAAACTGGCCTCCCGAAGTTGCCCTGGACCGGTCGCCGGCAGGGACCGGGACAGTCCCAGTCTGGCGCAGTGTCCTGAAACACGGGTGCCAGTCCGGGGACCGGCTTCAGTCCTGAAAGCGGTCCAGTCCCAGGACCGGTCCCAGGACCGGTCCCAGGACAAATCCCGGTCCTGGACTGGTCCTGGACCGGTCCGGGACCGGTCCCAGGACCGGTTTTGGCTGACTACAAGTCCAGGACCGGTCCCAGGACCGGTCCCGGGACCGGTCCTAGAAATCAATTTTTCGTGCGTGCGGGCGTGTCCCCCCGGGACTATCATTGATTCCAATCACTTCCAGTTGCATCCCACGCCGGTCCCCTCTGCAGGAGGCTGGGACGGGAGGCAGAGGGTCGGCGGATTTTGAGGCCATGCCTATTGGCCGCGTACTTGCTAACAGGGTTCTGCTGCTGTACTTGGTGGTTACAGCTGTTGGCTTCTCATGGAGGGGCTCCCGCCGCCCTTCCGCATCTTATTCCACCGGGTTGATTCATCGGGGGGTTTGCATGATTCCATGATTCCCCATGGCACGGATTTCGAGACGCTCTGTGGTTGCCTCTTTGTTTGGCCTTCCAAAATGGAGTTACCGAAAGGCTTCCAAGTGTTTCCCCTACAGACCAACCACCGGCGGGGCCCCGCCTCCCAACAAAATAAGTAAACAAATCAACAATGGTCCCTCAGCCAACACCAGGGCCTCTTTTTGAGAGATGACGGCAGAGGTGACTGGGCTGGGACTGGTTGCAACTGGTTGGTCTCTTCTGCTATATATTGTTCTGACACCAAAGGACTGAGTGGTTGCTATAGGCTCTCACTTCCTGCGTTCCTTCACTCTATTCCTTGCTGGGTTTGGTTGCCATTTTAGTTAGTGGGGAATTTCTTTGTCCAGCCCACTGGATCGGAACTCTGGACTTCTCGCTTCATGAAGAGACTCCCTGGCTGCAACTGAGAGGTGACTTGCCCCAGGAGTCGGTGCAAAACCCCACTTCATCGCCACGGCGCAGCCGCTCGCCCGGGGTTGCGGTTGGCCTCATGGCAGGTTAGAAATAGATCCCCTAGTCTTGCATTTGCTGAAAGGAATACTTTTTTCCCCCGTTGGTTTTACAGGGAATGGATAACTGGTGGGAAAAAACGCTGTTCTTTCCAGGGGGCTTAAGCAAATGGAAGTACTTGTTCACAACACCCAGCTTTCAGTTTGGGCATTTGGGTCGCTGGGTTTTTGGACGGTACACCGGCTGGCTTAAAGGGAAACCAAAAGGACAGTTCCCCATTATCTTCAACCATTGTTCTCTTCAACAATTGCTCATGTTCCCTTCTCTTTTCAGGATCCCTGAAGAGAGCGGAAGTGCTAGAACAACAAACCCAGAGTGTGAAAAGGCCACATTTCCACTGTGCTAAATACCTCGTTCTTGGGGCCTGGCCCCCAGGCAATTCCCCAAGTTCCTGAAAAAGAGGGCAGGTTTGGAGCCCTTGATAGCGATGTGCGACTTGTAGAATATCGATTGTTGCATTTTCACCCAAATCAACGTTGACCCACAAACTTCACCAAAAAGCTATTTTAGCTCTCCTCAATAAGGGGTACGTACTCCCCCAGAGTACGGACTGAAAACAGCAGCTCCATCGCCTACTTGCAATACGCAGGCAAACAAGAAGATGATAACATCATGCAGGCCTTCACCAGTTGAGACGGGCAATAAGCCAAGCTCCACTCAAGTCTCATACGGTCAACCAGCGGCATGTCTGGGCACAGCCATCAGGTGCGCGGAAGCCGCGGCGGGTGAAGCCTCCGACGGAAGAGGAGTCACTGCTGCCATGCCCCTGCTTGGGCGTTTGCGCCTTCAAATCACCTCGCAGACTGCATATTTGCCAAGGTCAACGCCCTTCACTTGAGCCACAATCAAACCCGGGTAGATGAAGGTTAGTAAGGGGCAGTCCCAGCCGGAAATACTTGGGGTTCACCATTTGTTGCATATACCAGGTTTTGATTGTGACTCGCTTGAGCCAAGGAATGAGTTCAAGTTGGAACTATGGCGATGGGGTCAGGAGGTTTATTCACATGCGGTTCGGAAGGCTGCGAACACATTCCTAGCGGTTTCGAACTGGCTTAGTGGGGAAGCGCCTTTTGTCTTTTGGCTTTTCACGACAAGTTCTGGACCTAGCCGAGCTCGTTCTGAGGGGGGGGAAGGGGAGTAACTGCAATACTTGGGAAGGTAAAGTAGGCAAAATGAATCTACAGGAAGCTAAGGGAGGCTAAAGGAAGCTAAAGGAGGCAAGCAAGTTTGGGGAAAGTAAAATCAGCTAAAGGAGATTAAAGGAACCTAAAGGAAGCTAAAGGAAGCTAAAGCAAGCTAAAGGAAGCTAAAGGCAGCTAAGGGAAGACAAAGCAAGTTCAATGGGCTGCAGTAACCCCCCCCTTGTCCCCCCCCCCCAGAACCAGAACGAGTCCTTCTGAGGCCAGGGAATGAGATGAATGACCCCTATCAACCATCCAACTGGTGGCTTCCTAGGGGATCCCAAAACTGTTCGTTCCCAAACCGTGGGAATGCCCCCTGAGCACCAGCAAGCTAGCACCTTTTGGCCCACGCAGTTAGCTAGCGCTTCTTCTGCGAAGAGTCATGCTCCACAAAGCCAGGCACCTGTGCTTGGCTCGTCTCAAATGCGCGTTTCTGCGCGTATATTGTTCTGGGTGAATTATAACGACCTCACAGGACCTCACCCCAAATGGTGGTTTATGTGGGGAATGGCCGCCCAACCACCGCAAGTTTCAGGCTGGTGAAATATTATGATTCACCCAGATTGTTGTTGTCGTGGAGTTTCTTCTCCGATTCTCCTGCTTCGGCGGCCTGCATGTGTCACTTCGGGAGGTTGTCAGAACGGCTTCCCAACAACTTGACAGCAGCTCAGTTGCCCCAGGGCGGTGGGCAACAGCGGAGGTGGAAGAAAGAGACCTTTGCTTACCCCTGACGCACCGCATGGCTGTGGTGGTCAAAACCGTTTTGGGATCCCATTTTGGTTGGTAGGTGTATTCACCACCCATTTTAGAACCTATTTTAGTGGGGATTGGGATGTTCACTGGGGATACGAACTTTTGACCCAGGGTTATATAGGTTGGTGCCTAAAAAAATGAAAGCCTTTGTTACCACGTTTTAGAGCTGGGGGTTACAGTGAGCAAAGGCTTGGGGTCGATAGCCGGGGTAAATGACCCAGTTTGATCTCCTCCAGTTTGGGCGTCTATCTACAACTCAAAGGGTATCCATTCACCAACCAGGAAGCCCGCAAGAAAGAAGGCCCTTGGCCAGGGAGCCCCCCGTGATCAGCTGAGCTTGGTGCTATTGGCGGATGACATGTACCAGTGCCTTGAGTTCGACAGGGTTGCTTGGTATGGGACTACTTCCCCAAGTAGTGCCCGACCTCTCACCCCTTTTTTGGGGGAGGGGTCCCCTACTAAAATAGACGTCCTGAAAAAGGTTGGTACCCTTATTCTAACCTCTCTACTGGACAACCTAGAAAAGGATATGGCGTGCGCATGCTGGCCAGGTGTCATCCGAGAAGAAATGGGACCTCCCATTGAAGAGGGTCTCTTCACGAGGGATTTGGTCAAGGGTTGCGACCCGGGCAAACAGCACCGCCGGTGAGTCACCAAACCCGGGGTCTTCTCGAAACATATGTCTGATGTAAGGTTGGCCAAGTCTGAATGTCTGAAACAGAACCTGAAGAGCAACAGTCAGTTCAAAGGGGCAAACCATGTTGCAATTTGGGAAGTATATTGGCCCATGGAACCGTTTTCGAGCTGGTGACTGCGGAAAAGCACTGATCTCGAAGTCTTGAAAGAGCACCCAAGGCAAATCACAGCACATTAGGCTGTTCAAGGATTTCCAGATTTACCAGACATGAGTGTGTTTTGTTTGAGGATGCAGGATACCCTTTTTGGTGGTTTTACTGGAGCGCGACCAGGAAAACCAACATTCGTTCGAATCATATATTCCCTAGGGTTCCCTTACTCCCCTTGCTCTTGGGTGTGGCGTTTGCGGATCCACGCCTGCATTGACAGAGTACCAACCGATTCCACCCGAGGACCAACTGGAAGACAAGCTGCTGGCATCCACCGAAAGTTGAGCAAATCCAAACCTTTCGTTTTCTAGATACCGCCCTCCAAATACTGTGGGTGGTTGCAAAATCCAATTCACACCACTTGAGCAACCATGGTTGACACTATTGTTTGTTGGTATTTACAGGGGAATCAACATTCCGGGGTTTCTTAGGTGGTGCGAATTAGATTTCGTCCATCCACAGTACCTCCAAGCTCCAAGCCAATTTCTGCTTTTCTCTAGATCCACTCACCATCCCACCCGTTTTCTAGAACCAAGCCAAACCAGACGGCCTTCGCTGCGACTCGCCTCCTCCGGCCTCCGGGGCTCCGCATCCGCGCAGGAGGCCTTCTCCGAGGAGGCCCTCCGCCAGCGCGCGGAGCAAAGGCCTGGCAGCCGGAGGTCGATGGGGTCGATGGTTTGGAGTCCATGGAGGGGTTGAGCTCAAGCTCGTTGTGGGTTTCAGGGCGGCTGCCTTGATGGCCTCTAGTTTTTTTTTTGTTTTACATATATACTCACTATTAGGTTGGTTGCCTCTAGAAATAAACATAGTTACATTCTAACTATGAGGTTTTCAAGGAGTTTCACTTGTTTTGTGGTGGCTTCAAGCCAGCCTGAATCCTGAAGGCACATTGGCGGCCCGGCGCGTGTTCTTGTTTTGTTCAGGCTTCGGAGCTGGCAAAAAGCTGAAGACCCACATAGGTTTGCACATGCGTCAGCAGGTTGCGCCTTTGGCAACTCGATTTGGGGGGAACAGCCTCGATTGCGTGAAGTCACCAGCAACCGTGCGCTCTAAAGAGAATCTGTTCACATGCAGCCTTTGCGGCTTGTCATTGTCAACTGCCGCCCGCCTGGTTTTCAGATTCATGGGGCACATGTTTTCCTGGTAGGCGCGTGAACACGTCAGGGACCGCAGCTTTTTCCTATGAGTTTCTGCACTTAGCCGACTCAAACTCGAGGCTAAGACTCGTCCGCTGCCACGCTTGGCCGATGCAGAACCGCTTTTCAACGAGCTGAATAGCTGAGAAGGTATGGGACCGTGGAAACGAGGTCTGCGAAACGGGTTGCAGCTTGCACCAAAGGACAGTTCTCTTCCGATTTTCATGGGGAACCACCTCAAAAGTGGTTGGGTAGCGACTGTTGTTGCCCCACCTGCATAAATGATGTCCACTTCGGGTCCCTGATCGTGCATCATCCATTTCCCAAGCCTCCGGGAATTCCCCATGCGTAATTCAAAGAGAAGGGGACGCCGCGGGGGGGACGGGGAGGGCAGGTTTTGGAAGCGCCGTACAAGAAAAAGACGAGTAATGAAAGAACAGCAGGACTGACCCTGGCGTAAAAGAAGCTGTAGGCTGTTGCACAGATAGTTCACTGTTCTTGGCAAGTCCTCTGTTTTTGGTTCTGTCCAGTTTTCGTACGGGGCTTCAACGAACAACATCTTTTGCTTCCATACCAAGGGTCTAGGTCCCCCAGTGGTACCAGTAGTGCCTTTTTTTTGGGGGGGAGGGTTCTCCTACTAACATAGACTAAGGAAAACAGTTGGTTATTTTAACCTCTCCACTGGAGGACCTATTAGAAGCTCAGTTGTCCAAAGCGAATCGACCTTTTGACCTTTTGGTTTTCCCACTTTTGGTCCATTTTTAGAGGTGCCAAAAGGTGATCACCTTTTAGTTCTGGGTCCTTTGGGCAAGTTTCTCCCCACTTCTGTGATACAAGGGAATGTCTCTTTATATGAACAAAGTAGTCTTTGGGATGCCCTTTTTGTGGTATCTCAGAAGTGGTCATTCCCACAGCCCTGATTAGAAGGGCTGTGAAATGTTGTGAAGGAATTCGCAAAGTTTGCTTTGAGCCCTGGTCTCTCAAAGCACCGGGGCTTCACCAAGGCTGAAGCGCTCCATGCATCTCACGGCAATGACGCTCGGAACTGGAAAGCCGTGGGTTTATACGCGTCATGTGGTCGATCTTTGGCTTTTTGGCTTGGATCTTTGGACTTTAACTTTTTGGGAAACCATGGTTTTTGTTGGTAAACATTTCTGACATGTTTGCTTATTGTGGTGGGAAATCCCCACTGAACTGCTAAAAATTAGATTCTTGCTCCCCTTCCAACGTCAACCAAGTATACACCCCGCCGGTTGAGAACTTTGCCCAGCGCAAGTTACAAGGAGCACTTCTACCGATCTGCGGGGAAAACTAGCTCGCCCACGGTGAAGGTCTTGTACTCGGGGGTTTCTTATTTCCGATATGAAATTATTTGATGAGGCATCATAGACAGAGCATCGCAGCATCCCCATCTTCCAATCAATGTAGGGAGGGGTCCACATCCATAGAGGAGTTGTTGTTTTGACATGTTCCATGACTGCCCTGGGTGGCGAAATCAAAAAAGGCATAATCAAGAAGGCCTCATGATTTCCAGAAATTGGCGGGGATGGCAGGCTGCATGAATGAGTTGCGCTTCTCCCGCTTCTGTTCCGGGGAGCCTTGAAGTGAAGAGTATGGAAAGGCCTTCTAGTAGCATCACGGTGGTCGCAAGGCTACGGTCAAATGGTACTATAGGGGCTTCCCTGTTTTCCAGGCTGTGGGCTGGTTTCGGTTTCTCATCGCTTTAGTTGAGGCAGAAAAGCGTGTGAGCTTTTCCATACATCTCAAGTCAGCGTTAGGCAGTCCTGGTCCCACCCTTATGCAAAATGAGGATTGCTGACTGCCTTTGTTTTGCCTGTGGTGTTTGACAGCGCGTGGCCGACAAGTTCAATTTGGCGTTTGTTCGAGTCACTTCGCAAGCTTCTGGACTTCAAACTCTTTGGGAGTGTCCGAACAGCTTGCCCCCAAATGTTTGGCTGGGGCGATGTTGGCTAAGTCTGAGTTTCCTGGGCCAATCCGAACTTTTATCGGGGTCATCTTCCGAAATCTAGCTTTATCCTTGGCGTGAGGGAAACACCCCCGAGAAAGAGCAGGCTCAGTGGGAAGATCAGTGCTTTTGTTTGGTGGGTTTGGTTCATAGGGGTGGGCAAAGCAAAGAAGCTAGTTTTTCGCGGATGAAGGGTTTCGAGCCCCGCTTTGCTCTCCGATCCTTCCGCATGAGGAACATCCCCTCGGTGACGCTTGACTGCAAGTTGGGGGACGTTGTTTGTGTTTGCCTGTTTTGTGGCCCTGGGGTAAAACGAGCTCACTACGTAGGGACGTAGGTTGCCTTGCTTGCCTTGCTTGCCTTGCTTGCCTTGCTTGCCTTGGTTGCTTTGCTTGCCTTGCTTGCCTTGCTTGCCTCGCTTGCCTCGCTTGCCTTGTTTGCCCTGCTTGCCTTGCTTGCCTTGCTTGCCTTGCTTGCCTTGCTTGCCTCGCTTGCCTCGCTTGACTTGTTTGCCTTGCTTGCCCTGCTTGCCTTGCTTGCTTGCCTTGCTTGCCTTGCTTGCCTCGCTTGCCTCGCTTGCTTGCTTGCTTGCTTGCTTGCTTGCTTGCTTGCTTGCTTGCGTGCTTGCTTGCTTGCTTGCTTGCTTGCTTGCTTGCTTGCTTGCTTGCTTGCTTGCTTGCTTGCTTGCTTGCTTGCTTTGAACCCTGCCTATCTTCGATTGTGAGCACAGATGCTGCAAATATTTTCGAACCCCTGCAGCATAGTTGAGCATCACAGTTTGAGCATCACCCTTCGGGCTGGCAACTGGGTAACACACACACACACACACCACTTTGTGTTGCCCATGTAAATTGAGTTTTGGGTTGGGAAAGGTGACGCGTAATTAATGGGCACTTCTCAGGATGCACTGACTTGTTTGTTACGGCAACTCCTGGCAGGCCCCCCCACAAGGTCTCAAGATGTTGCCTTCGGCTCAGAGAGTAGCAGCTGACTTGGAATCCTGGAAGAATATGGCCAGCATTGCTTGATAGGGCCGATGAGCTTGCAACATCTTGCAACCCTCCCTCCCAGAATGGAAGCTGACAGAAAGCCGCTGAATCAGCGCAGGATCCAAATGCGGAGGGTCTCCGCATCTGCAGCTTTCGCGGTGCAGATGCCCTAAACATGGCCAGGGAACAAGTGGAAGTCTGGTAGTTGACCGCAGCTTGCCGCAGTTTGCTGTTGGATGAAGGCCAAAAGTCAGGCCTTAAGCCTTGATTCAGAGGAAACTAGGGTAGGATTAGGCCAGAGGGAGGTTGAATCCCATGGTTCACTTGCAACATGTCGTTGGCATTTGGAGCTTTGGTTAGCCTTAGCCAGTGGCCAAAGAACCCCAAACGGTTTCTTCCGAGCAGGTTCCAACTTGCAACACAGGACAATCACATAGGCATCATGCCTAAGGAACTCTTTTTCTTGGGAACAACGGATCGTCCAACTCAGGACCAACTACCCCAGACCCTTCACGGACAGCGCTGAGCTGAAGCTGGACACCATCTCAGCAGAGGCAAGCACCGGAGCGAGCTGTCCAGTGGCTTTTGTGGCCCGAGCATGGCATCCAACCCTCCCACCCGCCCCAAACAAGCAAAGGGGAAGAATGCCCTAAGGCTTGCGTGTCTCACTTCCTGAGTCATGGACTTGATACTCTTTGAGAGTGGTAAGCAAAAGTTCAGACTCTTTTTGGCTCATCACTCGGAAGTGCGCCGGGGAAGGGGGTGTGGGCCGGGTTGGGACACCATTCCGCCCCAGAAGGACTAGTGGCCTCAAAAGGCGTGACTCGATCCCAAAGAGGGATAAAATACCGCACGTCCCCCCAAACAACATTGTGTGGGTGGCTATATCGTGTGTGTGTGTGTTTGTGTGTTTGGCGTTGGGGGGAATGGGCCCTGGCGTCCTTTGATGTGGCTCACTTTGCCCCTTGTTCGAACAGTTCCGAACCAGAGCTTGACCAGGACGGTTTTTGCCCAGCTGACATCTCGGAAAGCGAGCTACGCACTTGCTTCAACTCACTCAAGGGGCAGCCAAAAAATGGGCATGAAGCATTCAGGCCCATTGAGTAGTTGATGAGATCAACTATTTTTTTTCAGACCCATTGATGGGACCCAGTCCATTTGGCTGGCTCAAAAACAAACGGTACCAAAATGGCTTGCCCTTGTAAGTGGAAACATGGGTACCAAAACCTGCGGTTTGCCCCGATCGTTTCATTTTGAGACGCGGGCCATATGAATCAACCCCAGTTTAGTGTCCCTGGGTTTGGTGGGGAATCACTTTTGCAGGGTAACACCCCCATACTGTGGATGGACGAAATCCTGCACCACCTAAGAAACCCTGGAATGATGATTCCCCTGTAAATACAAACAATTACTGTCTCATGGTTTCTTAGTGGTGCGAAATGGATTTCGTCCATCCACGGTAGTAATAAACATGGGCCCCGGAAGGGCAGACTTTTGGGGCCTCGGAGGCCCAGCGCAGCTTCCTGCGGGTGGCGCGCTTCGAGGCGGAGACCTGGTACCGCGGCTCGTCCGTTGCAGTTGGCGGGGCGGGGCGGCGAGTTCCGAGGGCTTGAGGCTTGAGGCCGTGAGCGCTGGGAGAAGTGAAGCTGGAGTCTCCGAGTCTGAGCCGAATCAAAAATGGGGGTCATGACCCAAAAGATGGTCATGATCATCAGTTTTAAGGGGTCAGAAGGAGACTCCAGGAAGGACAAGAGTTGAAACAAGTTGGGTGTGGAAGAGCAGCAAACAACCAGTTTTGGCACAGGGGCATCTCAGGTCGAGTCTCTTCCCAGCGGATCCCCTTTTTGCAGTTGATCCATTTGTACCTGAAGTCTCCTTCTGACCCGAATCAAAAATCGGGGCATTGCCCAAAATAAAGGGGTCATGACAAGGGCTTGCCATCCAAGAAGAAACATTCTACGAGCCCCTGTTGTTTAGGGCTTGTTTTTGAAGTTCAATGTGAGCATTGAGCCTGCCCAAAGGGGACCACGGTCTATATATGAGTGGGAACCTTAGCGACTCCATGGATCCCAGCAGCAACCAGTGAACTGCTGACCATTCTTGAAGGGGAACCCACACGAAAGGTTCCAACGTGTGAATTTGACCCATGCTCCAAAACAGCGTCCCGAAATCCGTGTAAGGGACACCTATCATGTCCCTAACCAGAACTCCTGGCTCCTGGTGGCTCCGAAAGGCTCCCCTTCAAACGCAAAAATGGATACCTCCAGCTCCGAGTCCAGCTCCGCAAAAATGGATACCTATTTTTTGCCTTCCCTTCAAAAGCAAGCAGAGTGGATTCCAAGCAAGCCCATACAGGTAGCCATGTCTTTCTGTTTTTATATCGGGTGGTCTTCAAACCTTACCTTTTTGCTTGCCACTGATGAACTGTCCCTTCTGCAAGGCCATGTTGAAAGGGGACCGACCAAAACCCAGAAAACGCTGGGTCCAAGTTGGGGACCCATTTTTGGACTTCAAAGGCTGCCCAAAGGAAATTGGAGCTCTTGCAGTCCAGAATGTTTGTTTTGGTTTAAGGGACGAGCAAGCGAGCAGGAGATGGCCATTTACCCATGATCAACCAGCAAACGACCAACATGGAGGTGTCCTATCACCAGCCGGAATGTTCAAGTGAGCAGTTTGTGCATTGTTTTGGTTGAGGAAATGTGCAAGAGGAAGGTTATTGAATTCTGTCAAGCCGGAACCACCAACTGAACTAATATGGTGTTCATTTTAAAAGGCAACGGCGAGTTCATCCATGCAGGCAGTGCCGAATGCCTGATGTTTGATTGTCAATCGCCGAGAAATTGCCTTTCTGCACAGTGTTTCCGTCAAACATGTTGAATCATGGCTCTCCATCTCACAGAAACCGCAGCCATCCGGTTCCTTTTTGGTTTGTAGGTTTCTAGTTTGTTTGTTTTTTTTTGGGGGGGGAGTCCATTTAGTCCACTAAAAGTTACGTAAACTTTTAGCAGATGGGATCAGCAAACGAAGAGCCCTTCAAGTTTGTTTTGATGGACAACGCCAAGGACATCACTCAGTTTGGGAGCTCCCTCCTAGCGCACATGACTTCTGATTTGCACGGTGCACGCCCTTAGCCTGCAAGGGCCGAAGGAGGTTTGTGTTGGTGCATTTCTTTGGGGCTGTTGACGCGTTCGACGGTCGTTTTCCAACTTCAATTTTAGTGTTTCAACTGAGATAGCTGTTATCAACCTGGTTGTTTCCTGTTTGGCCCCACCGAAGTGTGTTCCTGTTTTTGTTGTTCTTCTTTCTTTTTTTGTGAAGCAAGTGTTTTGTGGTGTTGAACCCTCTTTCGCCCTTTTCGTCCCACTGCAGCACGAGAAAATCAGAAACTACTACCAACGTACTCAGTAGCTACACTAGGTCTCCCAGTAGTGCCCTTTTACCCTTTGTTTCGGGGAAGCTCTCCCTATTAAAATGGACTACCGAAAATAGTTGGTACCCTTATTCTAACCTCTCTACTGGAGGACCTATTATAGTATCAAGCAAAAGTGCTTGGCAGCGTTTGAGAGTTTTTGTATTACACCCTGGGATTGCACCCTTGACAAATGACCCACAATGGTTCAAAATAACACGGGTTTTATCCGGAAATATGCCTAAATGGGGTCAATACCAGGTGGGTGTATTTCCCGGGTGTAGTACAAAAACCCTCAGACAGCAGCATCTTCCCCGGGCCGTCGGCTTTCCTCGGTTGGGCCCCGAAAATCGCAAAATCCGCCGCGGCTGAGGCCAAGAGCGGCAGCGCTTCGAGGTGGAGCGGCGCACCGCCCAGCGCCAGGCGAGGCCTGCCCGCCTGGCCATGCTCATGGGTGCGCCCCTCTCCCCCAAAAGGGGGGGGAGTTCTTGCATTTTTTGTTGGAGGTTAGGACTTTAACTTTTTGCCAACTGCTGATGATGTTCCTGGTAAATACCAACCAACGTTATGGTTTCAACCATGGTTTCATTTTGTTCGAACTGGATTCCGTCCATCCACATGATCGCTTCGCTACAAGCCTGCCACCCAAATCTTGATTTCGGTGCTCGACCTTCACCGTGTAGCCATCTCCATCAGGCATTCACTTTATCTTGCCCCCCCAATGCGCGGTTGGTTTTTTTGCTCCTCGGTTTACCATGGCGCATCTACCAACCCCGGTCAGACCCCACTGTTGGCCAATTCACTCAAGAAAGGAGTTACATGTTTACATTTATTGACGGTTCTTGCCGTACATGTTACATGTTGGAGTTTTGCAAGCCTTTGTTGTGGCAAGTGGCAATGGCAACCAACCAACATAAGTTATTTTTCTGGCTTACATGGTGCACACACACACACAAGCAGCAGAGGGTGCCCCATGTAGGGATGTCTAAAGGGAACCCGCAGAGCAATTCCGGCTTGATGTTGGGAGGTTCCCGGTTTAAGGCCAAACTTTCAGTTCATTTAGAATATGTTTTATTTTCCCCTGTTGGTTTTAAAAGGAATTTATCACTATTGGAAAGGGGACTTAGTAGCCACCGCGTGGAGATCTATGTTCCCGGGAGGGTGCGGCACGACGGCACGTACAGGAGAGGCTTCTGGACCAATTGGCTGAATGGCGGGAGAAGAAGGAGAAGGCAGGGCATGCTCGCCAAACCTTCGGCGCAAGGATGTTCGATCCTGTATTTTCTGTTTGGGCTCGGTTCTCTCGCCATGCTTTTTGCACTTAGCATTGCGCGTGCGATTCCACGGTTCCGTTAAAGAGGAACAAGCCGCAAACAGGCGCCGCTTTGCTCAAAAGCCAAATCTTGGTGAGCGTCCCTTTGTTCTACATTTATGTTCTTTTGTTCCCCTTGCACGTCATGCTATCTACCGCAATGTTGACCCCGGACTGATAGATATCCAAACTGTGAGGTGTGATTCTCACTCCTCCAGATCCAACCTTTAAACCTTTTGAAGGCACCCCAGGGAAGACCACTTTTTAAGGGGATCCAACAAGAGTCCATGTTGATTTCCTGGCGATTTCGAGGAGACTGTATTGATCCTTCGATCAACGATACATCTCACTTGCCTGAAGCACACGCTGAATACTTTAATGGAAACACGGTTGCAATCCAACGCTCAGTTACCCCAAGCAAGCCTTCAACCTTTTCCCAATCGGAGGAGGTCATAACATGTGATCACAGCAGTCGGGTTGGGATCTTTGGATTCCGCACACGAATCACCTTGGGCACTTTTCAGGGAGCCCAGGTGCGATGTGATTCGTTGGGTTATTTTGCCCCTGGGCTTTGTATAAAAATCCTAAGTCGGTTGCAGCGGCCACACCCAGATCAGCCCAGACCTTCCGTGCCCTGTTCCCTTTGCTCTTTGTTTTTGGGGAGTGGGGTTCTCTTCGAACTCAAATAAAAGGTGTCCTGTCATAGGTGTCCTTTTAGGTTAGTTTGGAGAGAAATAGACGGTACTGGCTTGAGATGGGTTTTCTTCCTTTTACCAGGGCCATCGATATTTCCAGAAGGTCACCTACTGTGGATGGACGAAATCCACTTCGCATCACCTAAGAAATGGTTTCAACCATGGTTTCAAAGTGGTGCGAACGGATTTCGTCCATCCACAGTATGTGTCGTGTCCTTTTTTTTGCCTGGCCACTTGGTGTATGCGAAGCCCCCAGTCTGGCGAACCCCATCTGGAGGCCGTCCAATGTCAGGAAGTCAGGGGCATTCGTTGGTTCCGTGAGGTGCGCTAAGAACCGACCTTTGCTTACTCCTGAGTTCCGTTTCGGACTTTAGACGTTGTGGGCAGACCAGTTTGGTGGCAAATCAAAAGGTTGGACTTTGCATCCACTCAGAAAGTAAGTTCAGTTCTTTACCATGGGTTTGGGGCAAATTAGAGCAAGGCAACGGATCGGGAGAGGTCCCTCAATTGAGATTGCCCGCAAGGAACCAGCCAGCGGTTCTGCTGAATCCTAGACTGAAGGAGCTTCAAGCGACAGTGCTTTGGTTACGTTGAAAGACCTCTTGGCACCCGGCTTAGGGAACTTGTTGCGCTTAAAAACCTTGGTGCTACATGGCTTCCATAAAATTAGATCAAGGGAACCTAACTCGGATGGCAGCCACGTCAGGAGGAGGCTTTGGAGATGAAGCGCTTGGAAGAGCCCCAACCTCAGAGAGAGAGAGAGAGAGAGAGAGAGAGAGAGAGAGAGAGAGAGAGAGAGAGAGAGAGAGAGAGAGAGAGAGAGAGAGAGAGAGAGAGCGCCCCCCCCCCCCCATCCCCTCGCAGAGTTGTGGGTGAAAAACGTGTGTGTTTGTCGCTAGTTTAGACAAACCTGAAATTGGGCGCCCTGAAAAAACATTAGGCCAGGTCATATTCGCTCCAAGACCCTCCCTGAAAGCTCCAAACCGACGGCGTGTCTTCTTTGAGGACCGTGTAGTTGGCTTGACAACTTAAGGGCGGCCACCAAGAAACCAGCGATCGTTGTTCGTTGTTCGTTTGGGGGGCGGGGGCACCTATTTTTTGGGGGAACAGGAAACCAGCTTCTTGGTTTGAGGGGTGGGGCATATTTTGAGACAATCTGAAATGGCTCCCAGTTGCCTTCAAATAGGGCCAGCCCTTCCGGCGCTTTGAGCGGAGAACCCTGGTGAGTGCTTGCACATATTCAACTTTCCTGGATGATTTTATTCTGGTTTCCTCATAGTTTCAGCTGGAAGCTTGCTTTTTGATGAGACTTTGTTTGGGGTTAGTTGGGAAACCCCCCAAGAGGCATGAGCCAAACCCGGAACGTGTTTGCCTAGGCTGGATCGGCAGCGGGAGGAGCGGGAGCAACAGGACCGCGAGAAGTGGCGCAAGCGTTGGCCCTGGCTGAGCCGAATCGAAGAGAGCGCAGCGCGGTGCAGTGACGGAGTCCCTTACGGGGGTGCTAACAAACCCTAAGAAACCCTGCGGAACCCTAACAAACTTGAAGGAATTCTAAGAAACGAGAAGGAACCCTAAGCAACCCCTAAGGAACCCTAACAAACCCTTAGGAATCCGAAAGGGCCCTAAGGAACCCGAAAGGGGCTCTCAACGCCCCTACTTACCCCCCTTACAGATTCCATAAACCGAGCCAGTGCTGCAGTGCAGGCCCCTTGAAGGATACCAGCTAGGGCTTACCAGTTGATGTCAGCGGATCCCCTTGTGAAGTAGGCGGCCACAGTAGGCGGTTTTGGGATGTCTTCTTGAAGGAACACCAGTTTAGCAGTACCGTGTCCTTGACCCACCAAAAGTGGATCAACCCACCAAACAGACCGCAAGATAAAACCTCAGCCCAAAAAAGGGTCCCAAGTCTTTGTTTGCCAGGCTCACTGAACAACTGAACTGAGGCAGCTGCGGCACGTGGGAGCAGAACTTGCAGTTTCGGGTTGCCCATTTGGCCGTTCCAGTAAGATGATTCAAATTCAGAACTGGGTCCAACTTGCAGTTGTCGCATGTTGAATACAATTAGCAAACATTAACGTATGTCTCTCTCTCTCTATATATATATATATATGTATAGACCTGACTTTGGGGCTCCCTTTTTCAGCCGCAGAAACTGTACTTTTGAGGACACATCGGACCCGGAGAGTCGCATCGTAGGGCCAAGAGTGAAATTCAATTCAGTTCAATCCCAGCCAATTCGACTTTAGGTAATATATGAGTATATATCTCTCCCACATGTACCAACTCCAAATGGGTCAAATGTTGGTATATATTGCCAGTCCAATCTATACTTCCATCGCTGAATGAACATGTCTTATTTCCCTTTTTGGTTTTAAAGGCAATCACTTTCACTTCTGGACATATTTTCTCATTCGTTCCAGGGGCAACATATCAAATGGAAGTAAAGGCAGGGCGTGGAGTGTCCCTCCGTCCGGTTCTTAGATCTGGCTCGAACAGTCGAGCAGAGCGGCAAATTCTTGGCACATGCAAGGATGGGTTTTGATGGCGTGGCTCGGGCTATGCCAGCTCTGCTGCACCTCATCCTGTTTGAGATGAACATGCTACCGCTGTTTTACTTTGTTATGTTCAGCTTCTTGACCGAAGGTTGTGCAGACATTGTGCTTTTCAAGTCCGATGAGCACAAAGACTTGCAGACCCGAGAATGCTTGTTGAGGGCTTACTATTCAGCATTGTGGACTGCAGACCAGACGCCCATTTACAGATGTGGTCCGCGCAGCACTGAATTCATCTACATCCCGATTTTACTCAATTGGAGTTATTTTCTCATCGTGGTCGGGCTTTGGGGCGGGACAATTGTGTATTTTACAAGGCGGCTGCCCCTCTCAACTCGTTTCGGGGAAGGCAAGTACTTAAGATTTCTCTGGAAGTCGCGAACAGCTGCATCCTATCGAAGAACTTGCCCCAGTACTGGAGATATTTGCTGGCCTTTCAATAGTTGTGCTCCTTGCTGCTGCCTTTGGCATAGCTAGTTTCAGAGGAGTCAGTTGGGCCTTGCAAAAGAAGTTTCTCCCAGGACTGCTCGTCGTGATTAGCATGCGGCAGTTCACCCGACCAGAGATACCAGCTTTCCACTTTCGAGATGAAGCAGGTGAAGCCTTCGAGCGGCTGGAGTTCAATCTCACTTTCTTCTTGAATAGCAATGCTATCGTCCACAAACTCCATGCCGAGTTCTGCAAGATCTATGCGCATGAAGAGATCGAGGTGCTTGATGGCCATGACAAGTGTGAAGCGGTGAAAGACATTTTGAGGAGAAAGCCAACGGAGGAATTCAAGATAGACACAGAATGACTCTCCAGGGTTGCCCCTGTCCAAGGTGTAGTTCTTCTGGTGGCATGCGCATGCAATGGCTTCGGCCTTCGACCTCGGGACCTTTCGAGGCGTCGGGGAACAACTCGATGGCTTGGATGCGTGAAGCGAACGCAGACTCTGTGACTACCGCTAGCGCCCTCTCTTTATCGTTTGTGGCTGTGAAGTTGGGCGAGGGGCTCAAAACTCGGACACTTAAACCTTGCCGGAAAAAAGACATCGCAAACGCGAGTTTTTCCTTCGCTTCATTGCTGGCGTCGAAAAAAGTGAGGCAGTTCTGCGGATGTCACTATGGCGTCACATTGGTCCCAGAATGGTTTTCTGCTGAAAACTGTTTTTTTACTCGCAGCCAGGGATTTCGGAGATGCTTAAACCATTCTGTTCACGGTACTACTATGTTTATTGATTCCTCTATTAGTTTATGGGCATGGGCTCTGAATCGGCTTCTTTCCACTGCAGCGTCATGCATTTCTCGGGGTAAATCGAGGCCCGGAGACGTACATACTTGTAACGCCCCCAAGTGATAGGATGCTACGTTTTGGCAGTGGCGGTGGCAGTTTTGGGTGTCCCCGTGTTGCCCGTGTTTCTTCAACTTAAATCTTCAACTGCTTGGCTGAATATGTGCAGTTTCACCCAGTCCCCAGCTAAAATATGTTCACTTGTTGGCCTTAGGGCGGCCGCGCCGACCAGTGATTTGTGTAAAAACGGTATCACGGGATGAAGTTCTCGTAGTGCGCGGGGCCAGCGCCGATCGCATGATTATCACGTGCAACGCAGCTCGGCTCCTAGCCTCCAGTGACTCCAGTGGTTGTCTTACGGATTTAATTCCAACCCTGGCAACTGTTGATTGGAACTGGCTTTAACTTCAGGTCAAGCAAGTTTCATTCTTGTAGCTCGGGATTCGGAGGGTACATTATGTTAATCTCGGTCTGGCTGCGCGGCTGCACCATCATGTTAAAGTCCTTGCCTCGGTACTGGGCTTCAGGGCCACTTGGAGTCAATGTTGCCCCTCCTTGCTTTTGCTGGTTGCGCAGTCAGATCAGGTGTCAGTCAGGGCCACTAGTACCAAGAGGAACCTCGCAAGTGAGCTCCTTCGGACGGGTCAAGACTTTACAAGGTATTCTTCACAGAGGGAGCTTAACCAGCGATGGCTACAGAGTGGCAGGCATTGAGGGGAAGTTATACCCAGTGCACCGCTTGGTGGCAAGAGCGTTTCATGGACCGCCTCCCACAGCGGAACACAAGCATGTCAACCACCTGGACAGCAATCGAGAGAACAACAGGGCTGATAATTTGGAGTATGCCACCCCTTCTGAGAACGTCATACATGCGCGTGCTGCAGGCAGCTGGAATAGAGGGGCAGGCCCGGCAAAGCCTGTTTATTATCGGCGCATTGGCGAGTCGGAATGGTCAAACTTCTCCTCGCAAAGTGAAGCAGCCAGCGTGCTTGGGCTGAATCGAACGTTTGTGAGCCAGTGTTGCAACGGACAAGTGCAACACGTTCGCGGCTACGAGTTCAAATCTGCCGAGCCTGCGTTTCTCACAGGGGAAGTATGGGGGGCAGCCAGGTATCCAGGAGTCAGACAGGCCATTGCAGACTGGCAGGTAAGCAGCTTTGGCCGAGTCAAGGCTGGCCACGGTCGCATTACATTTGGGTCGTTGACTCGGGCAGGGTACCGTGTGATACATGCTCGGATGGAGGCAAATGGCTCTTTCAAGTATCTAAAAGTGCATAGACTAGTAGCAGCGACATTCCTCGGAGAGCCAACCACGGCCGACTTGCATGTGAACCACTTGGACGGCGATCGATCGAACAACTGGTTGAGCAACTTGCAATATGCGACGCCCTCCGAAAACGCCCAGCATGCTCGTGCTCGATTGGCTGGCAGAAAAATCGAGCAGCCAAATCGAATGAAGCCGGTGCTTGCCCGTGAAGTGGGAGCTCCTGGATGGATCCGGGTGGAGTCAGCATCAGCGGCAGCTGCGTATACTGGCACTTCCAGGTCTTCAATTGCCCAAGTATGCCGGGGAAAATCTGAACAGTGTCCGAAACTGGGAGTTCAAATATGCAGCCTGTGAGCAATTGCCGGACGAGGAGTGGCGCGAGGTCATTCTGGATTGGTCATGTTCCCGTATTCAACCTGGAGTGAATGGTAAGGATCCTGCCGGCAAACCCCCAGCATAGAAGCTTGTGCTAAGGTCAGGGCTTGGAGCTGTGGGACTCTGCCCCCCCCAGCGGCCGCTGAACATGCCAACGTCCTTTAGATGCAAGTGCCCGGTGCCCCTCGAAAAAACCGGGGCGCATGCGCGCCCCAAATTGATGAAGCTAGTTGTGAGGGTGTTGCATGCGGCACAAAGATGTGCTTGTGGGGCGGATGTTGGCGGAGTTTCACCACTTCGCAACGGAGGGATACACAGGAAATCTGCAAGCGCGGCCTCATTCCACTGCATCCCAGTGGCAATATCCCACTTGCATTCCCCATGTGAACCGGCCTTTGGGCCTCGCGAGAAATCTAGCCAAAGGATGCAACGATGATTTTACCCTCCTCAAAACCATGGAACCTGGCAGAGACCCGCTTGCTTCGGCTCGTGTGCTTCTAGTATGGGCGCGATCCTTGTAAAGGATATAATTTTGCAGTTTGAACAGCTTTTTTTTTATAACAAGACTACCAGGGGAACAACTATTGTGTCATGTGACATGTTTGTTTCTTTTCTTGAGATGTTCTGGATAATAGATGTAAGAACCCTTGTACGGCATGGTTTGCTATGATTGTCCATGAGAAGCTTGGTTGACTCAGTTGAAGCGAATCGACCTTGCAACCTTAAGTTTTCCTCTTGGTTTATTTTTGTTGTCACGGTTCCAGTTAATCTTGCAATTTCCTTACTTGGCCAGAGCCGCCCTTTTGATTTTTCGGGTTTCGCATGCTGGGCCATGTTTAGTCATGGCTCCAAAAGCTGAACCTTTTGTTTCTGAGTTTCAGGGAAGCGGTGAAACATTGGATGTTTTGTTTGGAGCCACAACATAACATGATGTGAGAGAGAGAGAGAGAACTGCATGTTTTGTTCCCTCAATCGTTTCATTCGCTGGGGTTAAGGGACTCTTAGAGTCAATCCATTTTTGAATGCTGGCGAAATGAACCCCCCAGGACACCAACCATTTTGATTTCAAATTTTCTTTCCAAGCAGCAGAGCCTGGAGCAAACAACCGGCTCCTGGGGAAGTTGCAACTCAATTTCCCTTCCAGCAACTGACATGGAAGTGCACAAGTTGTTTCTTTCAAAAGCACATCAGTCTTTTCCAAGACTTTTGCTGGTGGGAAGACGTGTTTGCTGCTCTCAGCTGCCGAAACAGAACGGATCCGATCTGCTGGCAACGGCAACCCGGAAGGCGAACCTTTCATTCCTAGCATTCTATGCGGGGCCCGGTTTTGGGAAAGCAAAGAAACGCCGGGGGCCCCTTTATGTTCGCTTCGGACGGTTAAACAATCACCCTTTCGGGAAGGGCCATTCAACTGGACGTCCTTTTGGTAGTTGGCGGTATTGGCGGTAGTTTTGGTGGTTGGTGATGTTTCAGGTTGGACATTTAGTTGTAATTCTGAAGGCTCCTGAACAATGTGCAGCAACAAAACCGGCGTCAATTTAGGCAACGGCCTTCAAAGGCAATCTTAGATCCTTCCCTTGACTTGCGAAAGGGGCGCTCTTGCAATAGTTTTCCCAAAGGGGTGATAGAGAATCGCATTGGCCGATCCTTCGTTGAAGGACCAACGGAGACTATGGTCCAATGGTTGCTATGTCCCCTGCGTTTGGGCCACCCAGGACCCCAGCAAACTCCAAGAACCCTTCAACATTTGAGCTGGCACGCTTTCGTTCCTTTGTGTTTGGTGGGTTCCCTCCAACAACGGTCAAGCAGAACACTGCCCTTTCTGTACCGGTTTTGCTTCACTTCGGCTCCATGGGGCAAACTTAATGGGGATCAAACAAGTGATCAAGTGAGTGCTAGCATGCTACACGGATGTTGTGTTTCCTTCTAGGGGCCCGCCCCCTAGTGGTGGTGTTCCTTTTAGTTGCCCTTTATAAAAAAAAAAAAAAAGGCAAAAACGGGTACCCCATCAAAACACGCGCAAACACACAAAAATATATGGCTGAGTTCCTTAGCTCGGGTCGCCCTAAGGCGCGGGGAGGAGCTGCGACAGAGCCTGGCGGACCGATGTCGTGGGGATGTTTGTGGGTTTTTTGGACCGAAGGAGGCGCTGCACCCAAAAACACCGGGGTTTGACCCATTTCGGGGTTGGCTTGAAGATGCTTGACGAGGAAAATGATGATTTGAATGTACTGTGTTTTGTTCTAGCTTTTTTTTTGAGGGTGTCCCTTTGTTTGGTTGTTGTAAAGGGACATCAGCAGGAAAATCACGTGTGTTGTTGTTGTTCCTTTTTTTTGGGGGGGGAGGGGGTCCCCTAAAAGTCTCTGTGTGCTTTTTTGAGGGTAGCCTGGTTTGAAAGGGGAAAAGGGCAACCCACCCATTTTGCGTGGCCGAATCCCTATTTCGACAACCACTACAACTGGCGGTTTCACTTTTGGGTTGTTTACCCTTTCCATCAAAAGGGACCGCTTTGAATACTGCTGAGAAGGGCGGACAGATGTGTGCAGATCTTCCTTCTAATGGCCCTTTTCTGATGCGGCTTTGGCCAAGTAGAGGGGTGCATCGGTCTCTCATCTAGAGGCTTCCATTGCTTTTCACCACATGGTTTCATCACGGACCCCGAGTTTCTTTTCGGAAAGGTTGTTTGTGCACTTAGATGTAGTTGGTAGTAGGATATGTGGAACGGAGCCTTGGTGTGCTATCATCAAATCTGAGACACTCTTCTTTTTTTTTAGTATGGCCCCGCTCTGAGCGGGAAGGCCAAGAATGCTGGCGCTTTGCCCGCTGGCTCAAAGCAGACACCTCAAGCAAGAAGACCAGGGTCACCGAGCCTGCAACACAAAGAGTCCATGTTTTCTTAAAACCGACCTGGCTCATGATTTTCAAGTAAGTCAGCCTTCTTTCACCCCCCCCCAAAAAAAAAAAAACACTGAAATTTCCGTCACACACACACCGTCGCCGCGTTTGCCCGTGTTTTCCCCGCCTGGGGTCTGCCCCTTTGAGCTCCGCCCCTCTCCGGCCCATGGCGCCGGAGCCCGAGACAGCGCCCATGGAGCCGGAGGCGGCGAAGCCCAGCGCGGCAGAAGCGGCGGAAGCGCCCGAGAAGGCGCGGGAAGTGGACCCCCAGACCCCCAGGCGATTTCCTGGTTGCTTTGTCTTTTAGAGGCAAACATACCAAGTCTTAGCACCCAGAGAGCAAAAAAGGGCCCTTTCTTTTGGGTCATTTCTATATGGCTCTGGGTCAAAATCAATGTGATCCCATTTTGGGGTAGGTGCACCACCCGTTTGAGGCGGGATTTTTGTGGGGATTAGGATGTTCACTGGGGGTACGATTTGGATTTTGACCCATACCCTTTTGTTTGTGCGGTTTGAGTTCTTTAGAATTTAGAGGGAAACCAAAGGAAAACCACCTGATTGTGGGGATTGCTACGTTTGAGACAAGCCCAGATCGACAATCAGAAGTCTGCGTCTTGCAGGGAGTTCCCCTCCTTTCTTCATACACGGGGACTCAACCGTACAAGGCGTCGAGGTTATAGAGAACTTACACAAGAGGATTTGGGCAGGATGTACCCTTACGTAGCTTGTCTGTTCCGACAATCCATAATACGTGCGCTGGAAAGACCGGATCCATGGTGACATCCTCCAATTTGATCTTGACCTATGTTCTCAGGGAATGAGGGAATGAGCCCACTGAACCATCCCTTACTCACTCCCTGAGTTCATGGACTTTGGTAACTGTTCGGGTTCGGACCATTTTAGTGGCAAGCAACAAGTTTGGTTCCCCTCCCAATACCGCCGGGACCTGACAGGGAAATGGGCCCAAATGATCTTCCAGGACACCCGTGTCAGGTTCCATGTCGCTTGGTGGGAGGGTACTTCTTTTCTTCACTGTTCTTGGCATGTTTTTTTTTTTTTTTTTGGTTCTGTTCATTTTTACTGGGGGTCTGCAAAAAGCAAAGTTTTTAGCTACCATACCAAGAGTAGAGATGTCTTTTGACGCCTTTCAACCGAACATGGTCCAAACCAGGACCCGAGCGTCAGGTTGGTCGCCTTGGTGGCCTCCCCCCGCCAGGCGACCACTGCGAGCCCGGGCTCCGCAGAGCCGAAGACGGAGACGGAGACGGAGGGCGAAGGCAAGACGACGAGGGGTAGGTGGCCCAAAATGTGTTGTTTGCCCAAAGCAAAGAACGCAAAAGGGAAACATACAGGGTGAAAGTAGATGGCGCAATTCCATTTCTATCTCTTTTGGTTTAGTCACCCCTTTTACTTTTCTACATGAAGGGAATCGCACCATTTTCTTCCACCCAGGACCCTGGTTTAGGTTTCTTCATTGGCAGACGTTGCTTGCCGTTTTACATACTCTCTGTGTGTGTGTGATCCTTTGTGGCCCTTCACTTTACCTTTCAACATGCAAGCAAGCGACGTTTTGCAGGGTTCTGAAAAGGACTAAAACCCAGGGCTTGCTTGGAACGAGCAACCCTTTGTCTTGGGGAGAGTTGCCCTGAAAAAGGAAACCAAAGCACAGTTTGCCGAACAGAAAGGCGTGTCGGAAGCGTCTACTTATCTCATGTACGGGTTTGGCTCAAAGGGAAGCCCGGAAACAGGAGCTGCGACAGTGATGTTGACCTAGCAACTTCCCATTTGTGCTGAACGTATCGCCGAGGAAGCCAAATGAGGTGGGTTGTTTTTCTTCAGGGTTCTTGGCATGTTACGCGTAGCTTTAGTGTTTTCAGTTGTTCAGTTCTGTTGACTGTTAGTGGGTGGCTGCAAGAAGGAATGGCATAAGTTTTCCAGCCCCCCTATTTACCAAACAAAGTCAAAGCGCACATCGCGCCAAAAAAAGGGTTTGTGTTCCATGTCAGTTGGGAGGGGAGCACGGTGCATGTCGGGGCGATCTTGGAAAACAGGTTCCCATCCCCAAAGTATAGCTCGTTCCTTTTTGGAGGTATGCCTAACTCTTCCCCAAAATAGTAGGACGAGTCTGAGGCAACAGGCACTGCGGACTCCTATTCGCCACCAGTAAGCCAGCCACGAACCCAAACAATTCGGCCAAAAGCGATTCCTTCCTGTGCTTCAGCCGGTCGCTTTTGTGACGAGAGTTTGCCTGACGTTTTCTTGGAGCGGGTTGTGCAAACAAAGTTTCTTTCCCCACCCCATCCCAGCCCAACAACCCCGCCCCAACAAACCTGCAAATTCTTGGGTTCCCAAAGAGCGGCAGAATGGCGGTTTTGCAAGTGGCCCTGCCAGATATGGTGGACAGTTCGGTGGCTTTTGTGTGGCTTGGCATCCGGGAGTAGCACACATATCTTTGAGTCCAACCGGAGGAATCCCACTTACTCACTTGCCCAGGGGCGAACGTTTGATCTTTGCATTTCCCCTTTTTGGTCCACTTCTAGGGCCCCCGAAAGCCGAAAGCCTGTGATGTCTAAGAAGACCTTGGCTAGTGAGCTTGTAGGAGCTCCTGGCGCTTTCTTTTGGGGGGGAAACCACCTGCCCCTCACTCCACTTCTGGGTTTTCCCAGAAGAAACCTCTGCAGACTCGCGGCGTGGTGCTTTTTTTTCTCAGGCCGGGGCAGCAGTCGGGTGGTACGCACCTCCATCAAGGGCGAGGTGCAGGCACGTCCCACATTGAATTCCTTCCATTTGCTTAAGAATATGTTTTATTTTCCCCTGTTGGTTGTAAAAGGAATCGATCACTATTGGAAATAGTTTTTGTTTTTTCCCCAGGGTGCTAAAGCAAATTGAAGATTCAGTTGACTGCATGGTTGGATCCTTTGCTCTTGGGCTGGGTCTTTAGGCTTTAAGTTTTTGGATACTCCTCAAACCTTTTTGCCAAGGATCTTTCACCTTCAACTTATTAGCTTATGCGGAACGTCCCCTTTCTTTGGCGGACTTCCCGCAGACTTGGTATCAACCGAATAATGTTGACGTTGTATTAAAATTCCCCCCATATTAGTCCGGTCCGGGTGACCCCCCCCAATACTAAACAATTCATAACTCAGAAATTACCCCCAAAATAAAAAATGGATCCAAGTAATCCCAGAGCCCTTTTGTTTGTTTCTTGGGCAGGCGGCCCTTGAAAGCTCAGCCGAAAAAGGGGTCCAAACATTTTCCCCCCTACTCCCCTACAGATCAACGTGGAGCCCCAAAAGGAAAAAAAAGAAAAAAAACAAAAAGGCCGGGACCCCGTTTAAGGAGTTTCCTCTAAGAGGAAACTCCTTAAACGGGGTCCCGGCCTTTTTGTTTTCTTCTTTTTTTTCCTTTTTTTCTTTTTTCTTTTTCGGGGGTTTCCGTTGATTTGCAGGGGAGGCCACTGACACTGGTTTGGGAGACATGTGTGATCCAAGAGTGTATTTTGATCTTGTATGCCAAACCTCGACAGGTTGATTGATCTCTTGATAGGTGGGGCCGGGGGGTCTCACTTCAAATGGCAAATTTGCAAAAGGCTTCAAGTAATTTTCGCCATGTTCACCGGGCAACTGGGGATATGACAGAAGCAAGACTTGGCGCCATCGGACGGGCTCTCATGAATCCACGTTTTTTTTTGATAAATATTGTGAATACTGTAGTGTATCATCAGGGCCGAGCCCCCCAATATATATCTAGTTAGGGGTGGGGATATGTCCACATTCCCAGGAGTACCATTCCTCCGACAGTTGTTGAGGTATTCCTCCTGTGGGGGAATCCTTTTTGCATCCGCAGTTAGAATTCTCACACCCTAAAAACGGAATTGGGGAGGGGGTGACCGCTGAAGATCTGTATTTGAAGCTTCACGTTCCCTTTGCAGTTGGATGACAGAAAAAGTGGGATTGGTGGATTCCCCACCACCCTTTCCCTCAACGTGATCAAGGTTGAAGCTTGCCGGAGTGTACCGGAATGTGGGAATGAACCCAGCGATTCCCTAGTAGAGGAAACCCCAGTTGGATGGTTTCTCTCGGGTCATTCCATTTCTCATTCCCTGCATCTCTCGCACCAGCAAAGGATGTTGAAAGCTTCTCGGGATCTGTGTAGTCCAAAGCCGAAAGGCCGGACCCAAGTCCAAGAAAATGTCCTTTCGGAGGT